TATATACATAGTGAATAGTAACATTATTTGTGTTGCAACGTGAATTTCTAATTTAAACTTTGACATTGTTAAAACTGATGCCATGCTGTGAATATCAAATTGTCAATGGTTTATTTCTTTTAAGATGCATTGTGTAAGAATGGTTGTTGACCTATGAACAGGCCTCTGGGACAATCAGTTGGGATATAACTCTGAAATTATGGAGTCAGTCATTTGTGCTTCAGCTTGCATTTCACAACCACACTTAACAAGAACTTAATGACTTTGAAGCTTTTAAGAACTTGTGTTGTGTGTTTTACTGTGGACATGGGCTGCTGACATCAGTCTGACAAGATTGAGGCATTGCAATTCAAACTTAAAACTCATGTTCATCTTTAGTTTAAATCAGTTTGATTACAGTCTCAGTGAAATCTATTAAACATAGTGTGCACATTATACATTATAGTCATGCTGACAAGTGTTAACAGTTATTCTATACACAGACACTACAAGGAAAAATGACACACAGATGCTTGAACTGTTAATGTTGTATTAAAATTAGTTTAATTGCATTTTGTGCCAATATATAAAATGGTTTTAAACCATTATTTGTGCATAATCGCATAAGACATGGTACAACATAAACACATTTGATCATTTTAAAGACAATACAAACTGCCAATTTTGTATCTATAAAACTGATGCATATTCCATGTGATATTTCTAATATTAAAATCACAGATCCATTTACAAATGTTATTTGGAAATATTATGCTGTGCCTGCAAACAGTATGTTGGTTTTGTCATAATTCCCTCATGTCTTAAAATGGCATGAATTACTGTGGTAGCAAAATAAAATGATGAACATTTTACAGTAATAGTTCAACACGTGGGAAGAATATTTATTTTGTCAAGAAAAAGATGAGAAGATTGATACCACTCTCATATCTGTACAGTAATTATAAAGCAACAGCCAGCAACTAGTTAGAGCATTTTAGGCTAGAAACAGAAAAACAGTTAGCCTGGCTCTGCCCAAAGGTGACAAAATTCTCTAAAGCTTACTATTGCATACATTATCTTATCTCATTTGCATTTCCATTTTATGGACTGTTTCTTGGCCCGGAGCAGTTGCTAGAGAGTTACCAGTCATGGGCAAGTCTGGTACACAACCCCCTTAAAATTATTTTAAAAAGGATATAGCATGTTAACTTTAGCTGGAAAGTAAGTGGGTTTTGTTACCTTGTGACTGAGTCAGGATATCTGTTTTCTCCTCCTTCCCCTTTTGTGCTGGGCTAAACTAGCCATCTCCTATCTAGAGCTACATTTTTAGCATTTAACAGGAGTGGTATCAGTGTTCTCATTGCACTTTCAGCATGAAAGGGAATAACTGTATTGTAAAAATGATGCATGTTCCTTTTATACAATACAACATAGGCTATTTTGAATTATTTAAATAAATAGCATTTCTTAACCTTTTTTTTTTTTTAGAACTATAGCAATAAAAAAAATACATTCTCTGAGACAAAGGTTATGACATCCTGCTGATATAATTTAGTGGCTCTGATACCTAAACACATCTTACATTGTATAATATTTGTTTACAACCATAAAAACAATATCTCTAGTAAAATATTTAGTGTTTTCACAAAACCACTGAAATAAAATAAAGAAATACAGTGTTTACTTTCTCCTAAATACTTTACACTAATGTTTTAGAAAAGTCTACTAATTAGATTACTGGTCCAAAATCTGTTACTTAGAGTTCACTTAAAAATAACTTTTTGTTTAACCTATCAGCTTTAATTTCAAAAAAGTCAGTATCAAAAACATTTTTGCACTTTATATTGCCACATTTTGTTTGCAAGTCATCAGCAAGGTTTTTTTAGTCAGACAGTTTTTGTAAAGAGATAAAATGCAGGTTTAATTTGAAATAATTTCTCCATTTACAGTTTGTGGAATAAGCAGTAATGCAGATAAAGATCTACCACTGAACAGTTTATGGGTGAAACATGGTCATATAACACCTGGAGGTAATCATAGGAAATAATTAGTACATTTGCAGTATTTAAAATGGCTTTTGCAAAGCACAGATCCTGAGCATATACTGTATTACTGCGTGCCACTGAGTCCATTCACTCTATACTGTATGATCCCTGTCTAACAAGGAAGAATAAATTCTGCCTTTTGGCTTTTATGGCTGCCAAACTTTCTGCAATAAAAGAATTATGCTGAAAAAATAAACTAACTAAATCCCAGCTAGCGATGATACTGTCATTTTCACATTGTTCACAGGCGGGGCTTAAAACGCACATTGCACATATCACCCCTGCATATTCATACATTTCTCAACATGCAGCTCCCACCTCTGCCTCTTTTATCCTACAATTTAATAATGTGTGAATGTATCACATAAACTTAGGGAGGTTCTCACCCAACCTCTGCCAGGTATAAACTAATAGCATTAGCAGTACTTTAACTATAATAGTTGTTTGCTTCCAACCATATATTTAAAAACTAAAACAGACCAGAACAAATACAGACATGATTAGATGAATAAATACATACATATCAATAATAATAAACATGATCAAGAAAAAAAAACATTCCGCTTTTACAAAAGACCAGGAACAAAAGCATGGTGATTAAACATAACAGAGAAGGTAACAAAATATTTGAAAAGCTTTCCACTTGCTCTCCCATTATGCATGACATGCCTGTATTTTTTATTTTATTGGTGATTATTTGCTTTTGTATTATCTATTGTCACTCAGCTTTATTATCCCTAATACAACTGTTTCAACAGAAGGCATAGACAGTCAAGGCTTCTTTTCACACAAAATATATTTTTTGTATGTGCCTTGGTATATCCCAATAAAAAGAGAATTAAAAAGGAAAGAAAGATAGATAGAAAGAAAGCCTTCCATTTTCTGAAGATAAGTGAAGTTTTGATGTTTTTTCACAACCATAAACTCATCTGCTGTTAACTGCTGATAAGACATGACTATTGCAATATTCTCCATATTCTCCAGTGATAAAAGATAACAGATGTCACCTTTAAACCCTGGTGTCTGACTTCTACATGTGGTAGCAGGTGATTGGACAGGTGTGAGAGGAATTTACTGACATAATACAGACAGAGGAGAGGGCAGTGTCCATGTAGGGGCTGTTATTAAAAGCCCTTCAGGAGTAGATGGTGATTACCTCACGTCCACCTCCACGCACCAGGAGGATGCGATTGAGACCTTCAGTGAGCACCTCAAGGAACTCCATGTCTGGGAGAAAATCATAATGAAGGAATATATTGTGCTTTACTTGGCACATACACATGATATGTTGAAACAACATGGTGTAGATCAATGGCTCCCAACCTGTTTTTTGTCTGTACCGTCTACACTTCATACTCACCATGCACCAATTTTCAACTATTTATTTGTCACTTCTAGCTAATAAGTTCAACAAGTTATCTAATGAACTTTAGTTTTTCACCATTTACAGTGCCTTGCGAAAGTATTCGGCCCCCTTGAACTTTGCGACCTTTTGCCACATTTCAGGCTTCAAACATAAAGATATAAAACTGTAATTTTTTGCGAAGAATCAACAACAAGTGGGACACAATCATGAAGTGGAACGAAATTTATTGGATATGTCAAACTTTTTTAACAAATAAAAAACTGAAAAATTGGGCATGCAAAATTATTCAGCCCCCTTAAGTTAATACTTTGTAGCGCCACCTTTTGCTGCGATTACAGCTGTAAGTCACTTGGGGTATGTCTCTATCAGTTTTGCACATCGAGAGACGGAAATTTTTGCCCATTCCTCCTTGCAAAACAGCTCGAGCTCAGTGAGGTTGGATAGAGAGCGTTTGTGAACAGCAGTTTTCAGTTCTTTCCACAGATTCTCAATTGGATTCAGGTCTGGACTTTGACTTGGCCATTCTAACACCTGGATATGTTTATTTGTGAACCATTCCATTGTAGATTTTGCTTTATGTTTTGGATCATTGTCTTGTTGGAAGACAAATCTCCGTCCCAGTCTCAGGTCTTTTGCAGACTCCATCAGGTTTCCATCCAGAATGGTCCTGTATTTGGCTCCATCCATCTTCCCATCAATTTGAACCATCTTCCCTGTCCTTTGCCACAAGCCACCTGGGAGACACACCAAACATGTGGAAGAAGGTGCTCTGGTCAGATGAAACCAAAATCGAACTTTTTGGCAACAATGCAAAATGTTATGTTTGGCGTAAAAGCAACACAGCTCATTACCCTGAACACACCATCCCCACTGTCAAACATGGTGGTGGCAGCATCATGGTTTGGGCCTGCTTTTCTTCAGCAGGGACCGGGAAGATGGTTAAAATTGATGGGAAGATGGATGGAGCCAAATACAGGACCATTTTGGAAGGAAACCTGATGGAGTCTGCAAAAGACCTGAGACTGGGACGGAGATTTGTCTTCCAACAAGACAATGATCCAAAACATAAAGCAAAATCTACAATGGAATGGTTCACAAATAAACATATCCAGGTGTTAGAATGGCCAAGTCAAAGTCCAGACCTGAATCCAATCGAGAATCTGTGGAAAGAACTGAAAACTGCTGTTCACAAACGCTCTCTATCCAACCTCACTGAGCTCGAGCTGTTTTGCAAGGAGGAATGGGCAAAAATTTCCGTCTCTCGATGTGCAAAACTGATAGAGACATACCCCAAGTGACTTACAGCTGTAATCGCAGCAAAAGGTGGCGCTACAAAGTATTAACTTAAGGGGGCTGAATAATTTTGCACGCCCAATTTTTCAGTTTTTTTATTTGTTAAAAAAGTTTGACATATCCAATAAATTTCGTTCCACTTCATGATTGTGTCCCACTTGTTGTTGATTCTTCACAAAAAATTACAGTTTTATATCTTTATGTTTGAAGCCTGAAATGTGGCAAAAGGTCGCAAAGTTCAAGGGGGCCGAATACTTTCGCAAGGCACTGTATCTACAACTTTTAGCTTTTGACTTTAGTAACCCTGGGTCTACATCCATGGCAGTAACATATTTGATAGAACACCTACACAGGGCCACTAATAATGAACAACTTAAAATAAAAATGTTTTTTCATTTTGAAGTTCTGATAGTTCTGTAGCTATCTACATGACTGAAGTCAGCTTGTCTCCTGTAAAGAAACGAACTCTGCTCCTCTTTAAATTAAATCAGGTACTACAACCCTCCAAATTAATTGAAGAAATTATAAAAATTACATCCTCCAAGAAAATAATATTATGTTCAAAATGGGTTTTACCGACACAGACATCTGCTCACAATGCACTCTAGATTGCACCGACAGTTACTTTCATGCTACTTGGACCTGCCAACCAGTTCATTCCCTCTGGATAGCAGTGACAGAGAAACTCTCCACCATCTTGAGCTGCTGAATCCCTCCTTCTCCATCACTTTGCTTACTCGGTAATATCATAGAAATCAACCGCCTACCAATTAAATATAAAAACCCACTCCTCATTTCTTTAGGTATTGCCAAGAAAACAATCTTTCAAAATTGGAAATCAAAAAAATCATTACAAATAAGCCACTGGGCCAACCTTCTGACAGAATACATCACATTAGAGAAAATGGCATCCACTCACAAGAATAGTTTATCTGCTTTTTATGACACATGGAACACATTTTTAACACATTTCAACTTGAACCAAACACCTGGGGCTGAGGCCACGCACATTCCCACCAAATTTAACAAGCTGATTTTATTATTAGTACTGTTATCATTACTACTGGTATTTTTATTTATTTGCCCTCCTTTTCCCTTTCTTGCATTTCATAGAATGCATAAGTTGGAAATACCATACCCACACTTCACACACCACAATCTTGTAAAACATTCTGTATCTTTTTGTAATGTCATGTATCTGCTGTCTTGTCTCCCATGTTCAGTACTGTTTTGTTAATGTGTTACTTTGTTTCAATAAAAAAAAAATTAAATCAGGTGCACAGCCACGAGGTTGAATTTTATGGCCAGTATTGTTCTTAATTCATAAAAATGGTTTGCCTAACATTTGTTAACACATCTGCCATTTGCAGATGATACATCATTTTTTATTTTCACAAAAATGAAACTGCTATTCTGAATCAATTAAATCAAGTGCACATTTATAAACCCTTACATAAGTTAACCACAGTATAGCTCGGGGCAGGAGTACTCTCTACAAAACTGCAAAAGATTTATCAATGACAGAAAAGATTTTTAAAAATTTTATTTTTTGTAGGATTCATGGACCACACAGACTCCCTATTTGCAGGGTATGCCATTCTCATTGTTAATAGACTTCAACTCATTCAGTTTATCTATCATTACTTCAAAAATTCTCCATTTTGTCTTCAGTGGTTACTGCAATCAGTACAGTATTTACCCCAGTTTACATTTATGAAACTAGGGACAGTCGTCAGCTTCAGCGTACATCTTCATGAATGTCAGAAGTCCAGTTTAGAATTTTAGTTTAGGGTCCAATAATTTTGTAAACTTATTCACAGCTGTTTTTTAAACGATATAACATTTCATTTATCACTTTTACCATTCAGTTTTTAATAATGATGTGAATTCTATATTGTGCACATGTGCATAAATGCTGATTTTTTTTTTAAAATTGTTTTCTGCTGAAATCTGATGTTGTGATGACGACATTTGATACTCTGCTAGGGGAATCACATGAAAAACCACTTAGAGTTTTGGCTCTGCCTAAGCATCTCTCGTGATTGCATGAATATGACCTTGTGTATTAATTAGTCATAACTGTTTTTATGTCTTATGCAGTCAAATAACTTCTTGGGAAACAGTCATGACCCACACTGAAATGAGAAGATAGGAAATGCGGAAGGTACAGTATGCAACATGTAGGATACAGTTTTCATTGCCCACACGGTTTTTTGGTGGCCCAGGCATGCTGATCAGGATGAGCTTTGCCTCCTTGGACTTCTTTGTGATGACCTCATTGAGTCGCATTGCTGTGTGCATGCACCTCACATCAGTCTGGTTCCTGATCCAAGAAACATTAGGCCACATTGGGTTTGGTTTTCAAAGCAGTCTGTTAGTTTCTCAGTTCACTCATTATTTCTTGTCAGAATATGTTAGTACTTACAAGTTCTCCCATTCCCTGCAGCAGCATGATTGGAGGGAAATAATAGTGATTGAACTGTACATATTACATGCTCACACTGGAAGCTGCATTTGTTAGTGGTTTAAGTTTAAAGTTTTGCTTATCAGGTGGTTATCGCTTCAAATCCTGGAAAATGGGTCGATATATACAAATATTTACCACTGACCCATGTTTACTTTCTGTGCAGCATGCTGAGCTAAGTAGAACTGACAGGTGACTCACGGTTTCATGTTGAAATGATCTTTGCCTGCCTCTGGGGTCACTGCTAAAAGACTCTTCCCCTTGTCTGTACCTTTGTTGTCAGTCAAGGTGGTAGCGCCCCCTGCTGACACAGCAGGAGTTGTGGGGCTTGTCGTCGTGGACGCATTCTTACCATGGATCAGCTGTACCTGTTTTGGGTTGGAGACTGCCACAGGCTAAGAGAGGAACAATAACAATATGACAGGGAACAGTAAAACATTCCTGTGTGTTGAGACAAAACACATTTGTCACATACAGTAATAGTAAAAACAGAAGGTTCTGCTAGGTAATGAGGACAGAAGCATTGTAAACCAACACAGTGTTTCTCCTTAAAGGCTAGTGGCAGCATTACCTCCTCTTCTAGTTTCTCGGCCAGGCTGGCCGCTTCCTCTGGTCTGTGCTGTGAGTGCAAGGCAGACGGATTTTTACGCCGGATAGACCCACGGGATGAATCTGTAATGCTCTGGATCTATAGTTATTAAAAAAAGCAATGAAACATCAGGTTCAATTTGCAATTTCCCTCTAGAATTTATTCTTCCTTCAGATTAGTGAAAACAAGTCCAGACAAAAACATTTCATTATAAACTGATTCTTGGTCCCAGAGCTGATATGTGAAGCACACAGGGTGGAAATGAAAATGCCAAAATTAGCGCAATGTTGTTAATTTGCCTGTGGTGACTAAAACTGATGTTTTCTCCAGCTACATATGATACAAACTTTTCTGGTTTACCTCTCTCTCCATTTCATTCTTGGTCAAATGCATCTGTTTGAGAATCTGCGACCGTTGTTCCATTATCAGTGTCTTCTCATAGGTGTAGGCTGAGATGTCACTGTCATGCTTTAAAGGAAAAACACATTTCCATGTATCATATTAGTGCCAAATACTAAAGTGTTTTGGAAAGATCAAAGAAGAAATAATCTCCTTGCATGACTGGTTTGTGAACTCAGATATTGTGTCAGACAAGTCTTGTCAGGGCCGCTGCCTCTCCTCCGTCTTTCTCTCCTCTGTTCTCTTGTTCCTGTGGGCTCTGCACCTCAGCTGTGTTGCATTCCAGTAATTAGCGACTGGTTTGTCCATGCACACAGCTGACCAGTGTACACAATGCAATCCACAGCACAGGAACTGTCAGCGTGGAAAACAAAGGCACGTATTGCTAACCGCATAAGTGGTGTGATAGAGTCAAGCCAAAACGCACAGAAACTGTCAGCGTAGCATTCTATCCACGTACATTACGCAGTACCTGGTTAATGTTCCAGCAACGCTGGAGTGTCTGTCAGCGGTATAAATAAGGAGGAGAAGGTAATCATCGGGATGCACCCCAGCTGTGTGCATCGACAAACCAGTCGCTAATTACTGGAATGCAACACAGCTGAGGTGCAGAGCCCACAGGATCAAGAGAACAGAGGAGAGAAAGACGGAGGACAGGCAGCGGCCGCCGAGCGGACCTGACAAGTCTCTTACCATCTCCACCACTTCCACCTCTGCATCAAAGCGTAGGTGATAGAGGAAGGTGATGAGGTCTTTTTTCATCTGGATACTATTGTCATCCATCTGGGCTACAGTGAAAATACGCATCTTGCACTTCCTCCACACCTACAGCACAAAACAGGAACACTCAGACAATGAGCATAGTCTGCAAAGTGACACAGAGACATGTCACACTGCTTTATTTAACCTACTGCACTGTGTCTTCTTTAATTCATTATTTACAAAGTGATAAAACCCATCTCATTACAGCTCGTTTCCCACCTTATGCTGACGCAGCAGGAAGGGCAGAAGCATCAGCATGCCTCCATCGTGGACAATCCACCACACATCTATGTGGCCTTCAGTGAAGCACTCTCCATTCAGTGGAAAGGTGGAAATGTTCTTAGGAACCAACAAGGCCAGACTGGCTACAGTTGTCTCTCTAACCACTTCTGCAGAGGGACAGACAAAATAGATTTGTCATAAAATATAATGAATATAATTATTTATGACATGTACAGTATGATTGGGTTAGGTGTTATGGGTACTGGATTAGTGAGACCTATATTGTTAATTAAACATTTCAGAGTTCAAAATTCTGCTAACAATATATTAGCTGGTTATTTTTTAAACAAACACAAATAACCAACAAACATTTCTGATCCATTTAAACCTGTTGGTTTACAATAAACATCAGGGCTCTCTGGTGGTGTAACAGCAACACTGTTTTGAAATTAGTTATATGGGTGCATGGGTGATTTTGGAGGATAATGTTGGCTGTACCAGTGTTTTGATTGGGTTTTAATAAGGTCACTGATGTTCATTTGTTGTTTTCCAGTTCCCTTCTGTCAGGAGGCACAGTGGTCAACATTACAGCAAGAAGCTTCCTGGTTTGTACCTCCTGGCTGAACGGGGCCTTTTTGTATAAAGTTTGCATGTTCTCCCTGTGACTGTGTGGGTTTTCATCAGCTACTGCAGCTTCATCCCACAGTCCAAATGCATGCAAGTTAAGTTAGGGCTGATTAGTGACTCTAAATTGCTCATAGGTGCGAATGGATGTCTGTCTCTATGTTTCAGCCCTGTAATAGACTGGCGACCTGTACAGGTTGTACCTCTATATGCCAGTATTAGCTGGGATTAGCTCTTGCCCCCCTGTGACCCACTACAGGACAGTTGGTATAGGTAATGGATGGGCAGTTTCTTTCTCTTACTTGGTGCTAATGTCTCAAGGGCCTTCACAAGGATTCTTACGTCAACAGAGCACATAGTCCCAAAAAAGACTAGACTGTCAATGAACTTTGAAGATAGTTAAAACATTTTGATTTTAAACTAAATGTTTTGTTTTGAGTTTCTATGAACACACCACGTTTAGCCATACATGCTCAATAACTGTTCATTATTTTGCTCAGTAACCAAAACCAGGATGAATCAAATGTTGACTGGCTGCAGAAAGCAATCACACGACACCAACATTCATTAACTAACATCTAAAACAGCCAGTCTTTCACCTGTGACTGAAGACATACCAATAAAGTTTCTAAATTGCTGGTGGTACTCAGGCTCTTTCCAGTTACAAGGCCAACTGATCATTACAGTGTTGTGCTTCAGACCTCCCAGACCTCCAGTCTGAATCAGGTGGGACATCCCATCTCTCAGGTTGGAGGAGATAACCACCTGAGAGAAGCCCTTCACCTTCTCTGCCTCCATCAACTTACGCAAAGACTGCAGAGAAGAAAGGAAGACAGTTGTTAGTGAGTTTCTGATTACATAACTGGTAAAGTGTGGTGTAGCATATGCTTTGCTTGGAACACAGGCGTGTGTGTGCTAGTGATTAATTAACAGACCTGGTCTGCCCTCTGCACCTCAGTATAGTTGTCAAGGAAGGTTCCTTGAACTGAAGTGCCAACAATCGTCAGACCCCTCCCTGCTTTCAGCTGATTGGTCAGAGAGAGCAGACGAGGCTGCTCCACGTTCTGCTCAGCGTCCACACTCACCAGAACCAGGATCTGAGGCCTGACAAAAAACAGTGCAGCAGGACAATGAAACAAAACAATGAAAAATTAACAAGTGAAAGCCTACTGGCCATTAACAGTTTTAATTTTATAAATTAAAATGAGCATCTCAGAATATATTGTTAAATCATATTACATCATTATTCTCAGTTTTTAAAAAATTGATGATGTTTGATAATCATTAATTATTCCTATGCAATCTTTATCACTGATCAGTTGATTCCCCATTTGGAACTGTCATTAGCATCCTGCTTAGCGATGCAGTGTCACGATTCACTCAGTTGAGTAGCTGTTAGACCTGGCCACTCCCTTCCATCCTGCAGTAACCCCTGCTGTCTTATGTGTCTCTGTATCACAGTTTTCTGTATTTAAGATGTGTGGTGTTCAGCGTTAGTTGACATGGTTAGGGTTAGTGCAGTGACGTGCATATTTGCATGTTAAGGGTAAGGAGAATTTAGCAGGAAAGATAACGTGGGTTGCTATTATACCATAGAATTAATGCAACGATACAATTTTCACCCTTTGGTTTAAAATTTTTGTATAAAAGAGAGCACAAGTGATTTATGGAGCACATTTGTATCCTGTCGCAGACATAAACACAGTCTGAATGTAATTCCAGTTGGACTTTAAGTGTGACTGTTTAAAGTTTGAAGATGGACCTGACTGACCTCCAGTTCTTGGTGTGTGGTGGTCCCTCCTCCAGCCTCATGAGAGCAAAGCGCGCAGCGCTAAGTGATAGCCCACGTATCCCATCACCCCACTCCTTCTCAGCTCTGTTACACAACACAGTAATGGGTTAGCACATGATGTATCTATGTACTGTGTTAGGTATTTTTAGTCAGATAGAAATTGGATAGATACTTTATAAATTGTGGAATATTAAGTTGTTTGAGTCATTATAACTGAGGCACCAGCACTGTTTTCTATAAAAGTACTTATAAGGAATATAACCTTCACTTAGTTACAGAGTGTGTGTTCACTCAGTCATTAACAGTGTGTGTGTTTCCTTAATGACAAGATGTGCTTTGGTCTAGGGAGTTGTACTTGATACAGCTCCCATATAAGGGAGTTATCTTTGGGGAAGTAATGATAAATTCCAGCTGCATAATGAAGAATGTCTATGGGAGGGGGAAGAATAGAATATAACACACAGTTGTGGTAATTTCACTTCAGATCATCTGCTCTGCTGCTTGCTGTATGATCTCCAGATATATCTGCAATAAAGGTAATAGTGCACTTTGATATTTGGTGTGTGACTGAAATTCTTTCCACTATCTGGACCTGAGAGAAGTCTGGGACTTCACAGTATTAGAAATGTTTAGTGGAGATAGGATGTCTAGTTAGACTGTTAAATGCTTGGTCATGCTTATGAGTTTCTACAGGGTACATCTGGTCAAGGCTACCAGAGAGAAGAGTTGATGACTGTCAGCAGACAGGGTGTTTAATATTATTATTATGATGTGTATAACTGTAGCCTTAGCCATAATATGCTCTTATGTTTAATGTCACGACATGTTACTAGAGGCCGTGAGAATGTTTTTAGCTACACACCACTTAATCAACAGACACACACACATTGATTTGCTTCATGTTTTGACTACTACTATGACCAGCTGCAAAGCTGGTAACAGAGACGTCTCAGTTGACGTTTCTGTGTAGTATGGGGCTAGCCCAACCGAGGGGATATAATGTATAGGCCTGGTGGGTTCAGGGTCTTTCATCTTACATCTGCCTGTGAGCAGTTTGGAGGTGCAAGATACCTGAGCGTGTAATGTTAATTTTACCTGTGATCCTCTGAATAAATCAGCACTGTTTTGAAGTTACTTGGACTGTCTCGTCTCTCAGAGTTAGCAATGGTAAGAAGAACCATATCCTGCAACTGTAAGCACCATGTTGTACAAATATATACTTATTCAAAAAGTTATGTAACCTACGGGGATGTAAGGTAGCGTAGGTGGGTGGTTTTATTTTACAGTTCGTCTGGTTTAGGCTTTAAATCAGAATATAAATGGAATCCAGCTCGGTGTAGTCGTCACCAAAACGGGGTGCTTGTAGCGTTAAGAAAATTAAGCAAGGGGGATGAAGGAAAAGAGGAAAAGAGAGACTGACGAATGGGAGAGACCACAGCGGGTGGATTAAACGAACACGGGAGTAATATTGAAGGTTGGAGTTATTAACTCAGTAACTGGAACTAAGTGTAAGAGAAGACTTCTGTTCTGCGGTTTGGAGAGGAGATATTTCGGCCGTGAGATACAGCGGCGCCTGAGGCTGGGGACAGGAAGGCCACGTCGTTCGAGGATTGGGACGCACAAGGTGGAGTGTTTCCTAAAGTGCATTACCACGAATCCAAGGTACTGTGGATATTGTTTTTCGGATTTCAAGAGAGTGAAGAAGACTGTGGGGTCAGTGTTCCAGGACTAGCGCACTTACAGGCCTGCTACGGGGTGGGAGTGTGAAAGTTGAGTTATGGTATGTGTGGGCCCACGGTAACTTCTAGTACAGAGAGTTGTGTTCCTAATCTGTATGTTTATGTGAAGTAACTTTTAGTACAGAGAGTTGTGTTCATAATCTGTTCATTGTATGTTATGTGAAGAAGGTGTTGGTATATGTACTCAAATCAGGTGAAGTGTGGATTTGTATATTTCATGGGCTTTGATACAGACAGTAGAGGGTAACCACTGTGATTGGGGATATAGTCAAACTTCTATATATCCTGCATTTCCTTTCTTTTATTTTTTTCTTTAATCTTTTAAATTAAATGTTTCATGTTGGCAGGTTATACCTAGTGTCTGAGTTTACTCTAGCATAGTTAACGAGTGGAGACTAGGGAAACATCACACCTGTTACTCCGCAGCGCAGTAAGGAGTATATAAACGGTTGGGTCAGTGACACCAGAGGGGCCTTATTACACAAGCTCATAGGCACTTTTGTTGAACCTGGTACAGTCCCTTACATTCCAAATGATAAAGGGGGTAGGGGGTGCTACAGTTATATTAAAATGTCCAAACCGTCACTGCCGTAAACTGAAACAATAACCAGTGGCAGAAAAACTAATTGTACTGCAAAACTTGAACAAGAACCAACAGGATGAAAACTCAAGTTGGATGCTGTAATAAAATCTTGTTCTTGCTTTTGGTCCAAATCTGATGCTGCTACAATGATTACTTACCCGCAGAACTCTATGTATTTGTAGATGCAGGTGGCGATACCCATGGCAACTATGGCGTAGTACCAGGAACAGACGAACATGAGCGACAAGCAAAGACTCATACCCAGGAAAGACAGGGCCCTGCAGTGGACACATACAAATGGTTTAACTGGGTATTTTTGCCAGTCGCACTGCTGGCTGGAGCGCAGCAAATGAGTACAGCTTGTAAACGGGAAGTTTTTACTCTGCTGCTGCTGAGGTAAGAAACATACAGAGACAGGCTTCAATTTTCCATGGAGATTCAGGTGCACACAGTACCAGTAACATCTGCCAACTTAATCTCCCAAGTGCCTGATGTTTCTGAGGCTGATGCTGCATATATTCACCAATATATTGTCATTATTTAGTAAAAATAAAACTGGTGCTTAATCTGGGCTCTGTATGTGTAATTCAATCAAATTTGAGTGACAGTGACCCAACAATCCACCATCTCTGATTTTAATTCAAATGTTGCTAAATCTTGATTCCCCTCTCCTGAAAATCCAAAACGATTCTTGCTGTAGTGGAAAATAATGTTTCATGTTGGATTAAGTAGCTCACTGAGAAAATAAGTTTTCAGTTTTTTAAGACAGCCCCATTTTGCATGCATGTGCATGAAAACAAGGCAGGATTTAAAATGCATTTAAAATTGGCTCTGTAAGTGTTTTATGAGAAAGGAAATGCATTCAGCATGTTTGCTTAGATGTCAAGGATATAGACAATGTGTTTTGTGAGTAATAATCAGTGTGAGCTTTTGTTTGTTTATGACAAAACACCTTAGAGCACACTTAAATTGCATACATTACATGTATATTAAGCTCATTTTTAACATTGACATACAAACTCACCAGTGGTAAAACTTAAAGCGCGGCCTCCAGTTTGGTGTCTTCAACAAAGTCTGCAGGGCACAGGCAAGATTGACAAATATGTAGCACATCAAGAAGAACCTAAAGGACAGTGGGAAAGATTGAGAGGAATAAACAGGGGAACAAAAGACAAAGACAGACAAGTGAAACTGTAAGATTGAACTTATCTTCAGCTGGCATGAACAGCCATAAACATACAAATAGAGTTTAGGCCTTCTTACATGGAGAGGATGGGTGCAACTGAATCCAGAGAAGCGATGATAATGCCAATCTCACAGATACTAGCTGTGAGCAAGAGGGCCCAGGTGGGCTCCCCATTGGCTTTGCCATGCCCAAACACCTGCACCAACACAAAAGGATTTTGAGCAGGAAGTACAATGCATAGATTTTAATAATTTAACAATGTAATATTTGTTTTCTGCAACCTAAAGCCTCAGAAAACACTCATGCCTCCACATAAGTTCTAGCTAGCTGACATATACAGTACATCTGACTCAAAAAATCTAAAATACTTTTAGGGATGCATGTTTACTCACTCTAAGAAATGGGATGATGCCATCCTTTGAGATGGCCTGTAAGAGGCGTGGAGCTCCTGTCAGACTCTGAAGCCCAGCTCCGCAGGTGGAAAAGAAGGAGCCAAACACAATGACCCATGGAGATGGCCATGCCAGTGTACCAATCACCAGGTTGCCACTGACACCTTCGCCAAACCTGAGGAGAAAAGACATGCTTATATTTTAAATTTGTTTTGGAGAAGGTAAAAAAACAACAACAAACAATCAAACAAAAACCCGGTACAATCAACACTCTTTGTATACGGAGTATTGTTATCATTACAGCCCTATGAATACCACTTCAACATGTAAAGAAAACTTGATAGGTCTGTGGTACCTGTAGTTATTGTGGCTAAGCTACGACTGGACAATCACTGCTAAGATGAGTTTAAGGAACAGTCACTTCATTTGTTTCACAAGATTTCAATTGATTTGATAACATAATCCTAGATAGCTCCTTGAAAAATACACAAATCAACATATTTAGACATACTTGTCCCTTAGGACTACTCCTTCTATACAGGCACCAAACAGCACCACACAGGACATGTCTGGGATAAAGCAGTTAAAGAGTAAATTGTTGACAACATTTGACCTAAACACTATGATAACTTGGAAAATGTTATACCAGTGGCATCAATCAAAACATTCAGACACACAACATTTCTCTCTAACCAGTCTCAGCTCAGTGAAGGATACACACAGTAGATGTAGTGGTGATGGCTGCAATGGTGCCAATGGGGATCGACCTCTGAGCATCACGCAGGTCTCCAGAGCGGTTGGAGCCAGCCATAATACCTGTGAGTGAAGCAAGATGAAATCATCAGGAGCTTTGTGTTGTTACATCTGCATGGGAAAGTAATATCTTTCTGTCTTTCTGTCCACTGGATCCAGTATCACCATAATCAGGGTCTCAGTGCAGACATATTTTCTTGTGGAAAGATCGTACAACTGTCAAATTATTTAGAAATTTTATTTAAAACAGCATAGACAAGATAATGCATACTGGAAGAAGAGTAGCTTCTCTGCTTAATCAAGCATAAAGCCTGAAGTCTAGAGAAGCAGTCTAGAGAAGCAATGATAGTAATAACAATTAACATGTCAGTCTGACAACTCTCCTGGAATGTGAATGTAGAATATGTACAATGTTGAGGATGGTGTCTAGGCTCTGACCTTGTCACTCCCCAAAAGAACTCTGAGCTCAGCTTATCTGGGATTGATGATAATAACTTCTCCCCAGTGCTGAATGAGCAGCAACAGCAGCAGTAAGTGACAGCATGATTTTCAAATGAGTGGTGAAATTGAGTGAAGAGAGTGAAGTACAGAGATTATGAAAGTAAGCTGGATATACGTATGTTGCAGTGCATGCTATGGTAGTATAACAGCAGACTCTGGACTAACTGTGCTTAATTTTTATAGCACATTTCTTAAACAGGAATTGCAAAGTTTGTCACAAAATATACAGGAGGACTTTAAAGAGAGCTGACAAAAAACTGGAACTCCTGGATTCTGTTTCACAAGTAGGAAACCCTCATTCAAAGTCCCAGACATTTGTAACTTGGCTAATAAATAAAAAGCCAATCGTTCTCAACAGTAGGCTGTGTGACTCACTGCACTTCTAGATAAGTAAGGATCTCCTCTGCCTCCCTCAGACATCACTTTAATCAGCAGTGTCTCTAAGAAATCATTATTAATTGTTATGAACTCTGGTGTGACTGTTGTGCATTGTGTACAACCCACCATACACCTCCCTCGTAACTTTGCTTAATTTTTATAGCACATTTCTTAAAACTGTGCTTAATTTTTATAGCACATTTCTTAAACAGGAATTGCAAAGTTTGTCACAAAATATACAGGAGGACTTTAAAGAGAGCTGACAAAAAACTGGAACTCCTGGATTCTGTTTCACAAGTAGGAAACCCTCATTCAAAGTCCCAGACATTTGTAACTTGGCTAATAAATAAAAAGCCAATCGTTCTCAACAGTAGGCTGTGTGACTCACTGCACTTCTAGATAAGTAAGGATCTCCTCTGCCTCCCTCAGACATCACTTTAATCAGCAGTGTCTCTAAGAAATCATTATTAATTGTTATGAACTCTGGTGTGACTGTTGTGCATTGTGTACAACCCACCATACACCTCCCTCGGCATCTCCAGTTGCAGTTTGTAAACACAATGTTGCTGCTTAACATGACTAACATTGTTTTATAATATACAAATGTCATTTCTATGGTTGCTTCAGTGGGCCTGTGTGGTGCTAACCTGTGACAGAAGGGAAGTATATCCCCACCAGCAGGGTGAAGAAGCTGGTGATGTCAGCCAGGACGTAATGGTTGGAGCTGGATGTGGGACTGTCTGGATCCATGTTTGATGCAAGTCCACGCTTCTCCAGGATCATCCCTTTCTCCAGGTAGTTTCCAAACAGGTTCTCTGAAAGACAGGAGAGCATTTACAGTTAGAAAGTGAGATGGACTGATCCTTTTCTCACACTGATGGGTGATCAGGGATCTCTTACCTGCCAGGATGCCACTAGTAACCCCGGGGATGCCCTGTATCTCTGTGACATTGTTGTTGGTGAAATATTCATCACAAGTGGCATTGAGGTACTCAGAATCACAGAAGGACCTCCACAGTGTAGTGGTGACAGTTTCATTGTCTATTTCAATGACTTTTGCACAGATGTCATATCCTTTAGAGACAAGAGTTCGATTTCCCAGGAGGCAGACGCTGCAACAAAAGCAACATTGTCACAAACCTAGACTTGACTGCACTGTAGACTTTGACCAGTGAGTGAATGAATCACTTACGGGAAGAACGGAGGGTCAACAGCAGTCTTGATGACTCCGGCGTAAACAGCCAAGATGGAGAGAATGACACAAGCCAGGAAGACCAGTGCCAACTTGTTGACATATTTGACCCCTACAAACACCACCACTGCCATTAAGCTCAGTATGATGGTGCCATACACCCTCATGTTGTTGAGGAGAGCGATCTCTGCCTCTAGCCCCTCCAGACCCTCAAGCTTGAAAATGGCTGCCTGAGGAACAATATAAATCTGATAGAATGGAAAGATGGAGGGAGAAATGTGCATGAAGGGGAAGTAGAGGAAAGAAAATAACACAAGGTGTGGTGGAATATGGTAGAGAATGGTGAAATTTTTATTAAAAAATGTTGGTCAGATAAAGTGATAAATCTGATTAAGTTAACTTGGGTTTTAGGAAATTTGTTTTTCCACTTTTACTAATATTTTATTGCCACCCTGCATATGTGTGTCAAATTTCAAACAAAAATTATTTTTGCTAACTTTTGATGGAGATGTGATTTATTTAAAAAATTTGCCCCATGTTAAAGATGGGAATTTTTTGTGTGTCCTTGAACTTTTTCAGGCAAAATCACATTACTTCTAGATTTTGGTCCCCACCGATGTCTGTCAGCTGTTTGTCTGTAAAGCCATTACACAGGAGATTTTTTTGACATTCTAGCAGGATGATCATTCTCCTGTTCCATGTACATTTCCCTGTAGATACAACGGTGACCCAGCAGCGTGCAACATAATAGGAACCTGGAACTGACACACTTGAATTCAACTTAGCTATAATTAATTAGTTAGAAGTTATACCTGTGCCAGTCCTGCTATGACATGTCAAGATATGTGAAGTGAAAGAGGCCTGTATAGAACAGGGCAGCATGCAAAACAATAAACATGTGAGTTATTCTTACCAGCAGAATTTCAACACAGCCAAGAATGTACATGGCACCTGCAAAAGTGGTGCCTAAGTAAAAGCAGATCCCAACAGCTCCACCAAACTCGGGCCCCAGTGAGCGAGAGATCATGTAATATGAACCTCCAGCTGAAAGTAACAGACACAGAGAAGAATCAGTGCTCTGTTATGTTCTGCACAAACACACTACTACATCCCCTCAGACATCCACTCACCTGGTACAACTCCATTTGTTGCAATGGCACTCATAGAGATGGCCGTCAGCATGGTCTGAGAGAAGCAGCACACCACAAAGGAGGGTTACAGGATGGAGAAGCAGCAGGTGGACACTGCATATTACTGTTAATATGGCTGATAAACTCAGGAAGTGAGCAGAGAGAACCATCCAGCAGCAGCATAGTCTGATTCATTTCTAGAGTGTGATCGGGCCACATATTTCTGCCTGAACCCAACCCGTGCCCAAGAGTGTGGTGTCCAAACTCAACATGAGCCCGATGGAGTTGAGTTTGTACAGAGTTTTTCCCCATATTGTTAAACAAAGCAGACATTTGTGTTCCAGCCGTCTAGCCTAAAGTTTGTCCTACACATCCGAACCCCACGCAGACCTGAATATGATTTCTAAATTTCTGTCTGAACCGAGCCCAAACCCTCAGGTACTGATGGGTGGCACGGGGCTCAGTTCGGGTATCCACACTCTCTGATCATGGCATGGAAAACTGCAGCTGAGTAGGCACATGCTGTCACCTCAATGATACTGTCTACTACAGTCTAAAGTGGAGAGGAACTGACTACTTTTACTAACTACAATTATTTTAGCACAGTACAATTTTAAGTATGTGTGTGTAAGTATGTGTGTATTTATAGGAACCAAATTAGACTGATATAATCTTGTGGATGGATTTTTACAGCTCTGGGATCATGTTACACAACAAACATGCACATCTGCAGTTTCACTCACTGTGGAGCAACACATGAAGACGATAATGAAAGTGCCAAAGACGCCTCCAATTCCAACCATCCAGGTCATCCTCAGGAAGAGGATCACCCCAAAAATATTCTGGATACAAGGCAAGTATACTCCCATCAGAGTGCCCAGCTGTGGTGCCTGAAAAACACAGAATAAAACATCAAAAGTAAAAAGTTATGATTTAGTTTTTTGTGTCTAAGCTTTCTGTTTAGTTCATCTTACTATGATGTGCATGGGAATGGATTACTGTATAGTCTATACATTTGCACTTTGTTATTCAGTCATTGTCTCCTATTCACCTTAATTCAACTATTTCAAAAGGGTCATTCTTTTCAAACAGCATAAGGTGTTTCCTTATTTTCCTCTTATCCAGTGGCTCTAGTGCAGGGGTTTTAATGCTGCAAATGTGGAATCAAAGAAACACTTTTTCCCCAAGGTTAATGAAGTTAGAGCCATGTCAGTGTCATAGTGAAATAGGACAATTTAAAAAGTGTTTCGCATACTTAGAAAACAGCTGCAGATCCCCAGTCTCTCTTTTAGCACCACCATGAGATTTACATTGTGTTTTTGAGTGAAATATTTCAACGACTGTTAGATGGATTACCACACTATTTGCTGCAAACATTAATGCTCTAATCAGGGTGAACTTTTTTCTTAATGAGACCACATCAGGTTAATATATATCTAATATATATATATATCTAACCTTTCCTCTCTGATGCCTATTGGTTTCATCCAGCCATCCATTTTCTATACTGCTTAGTCCCATACGGGGTCACGGGGGGCTGGAGCCAATCCCAGAGTTTTATGATTCTTTTCAACACTAAATGAAACTATGAGAGTAAGATGGCACCGACAACTATGGTTGCCTTGTGTACTCGTGTTCTCTTGTGTATGTACTTCTTTACTTCTGTTCTCAGGCTTATAATGTTTACTTGCCCACTGCTGCCTTACATAAGGACATGTAGATCTGCATTGAGAGCCGCTGTACCAGAATCAAATTCCTCGTGTGTCCAACACATCTGGCCAATAAAGCTGATTCTAAATTATAAAGCTTCTCTTCAAATCTAAATCAGTCTGGGGAGGAATGGATCACATGCAATACTGCACCGTGACTGGTTTTTGTGATAACCGTGGCCCCTCCTCATTATTCTCGGCCTCTTCATGTTCCCTGCTGCCCGTTGGCAGGTTGGAGTAGTTGGCCAGGCTGCTGAGCAGAGAGGAGACCATTGGACTGGTGTCCATCTCCTCCTGCAATACACCCAGAAACACACAGCCATAACAGATGTGGAGATCTAATGGTAATATGTCTACATCGACTCAGAGACCCCAATTAAAAATCAGACAAGATCCTAATAACAATGGTAAGGTAGCGTTTTATTGACATGCCAACAGGAACTGGGCTCTCAGTTTCAGTATGTTTGTGACAGGTTATTGAAAACTGTCCTCACCTCAAACAGAGCCATGTTCTTGCCATCATAATCCTGGCTCTTCCCCGCTTCACCCGCTCTGTGGCTGTTAATGGAAGGACTGCGCTCTTTAGGGTTCCCATCACCTGAATCATAGAAACACCAAATTGCAGTATTAGAGCAGTCTTCGCTTACAGATGCACACAGACACTTAAGTTGTAATTAGGTTTACAACGGTTAAAGCATGGTTATTCAACTCATGTGTGTGGTATTACTCATTGTGTGGGGATGAAAATTGGTCACACTGTGGATAATGTAGAAAATGTAAATCACTACATTTTAGAGCAGTGATTTGTTTTAAAATGAAGTAAAGATTAGGCAGATAGTGGTTAATAATATAAATCAGTGTACAGTTATGGAAACACAACTTGTCTGTGTGTGTATGAAAGTGTGCCACCTTGTAAATGTGTTAATTGTACCAGAACAATAGTCAGTGTCCAAAAATAATTCACAATTTATTCTAAATGGTGACTGAAGCTTTTCAACTATAGCATGTGGCCTTCATTATAAAAGTGTGTTTGCAAATTAACAGGCTCAATCTGCAGATGACGACTATGTGATATGGTCACAAGATCGAAGACAAAGTAATTAATTAATTCAATCCTTCACTGGTCCTCCAAAATTTTGTTTCTTTGCTGCAGTAAAGATTTTTCTATTCAGTCCACATGAAGGCCAAATGACTAAGTATGTAGCGGTTGTGCTGCTTGCCACCCACACTCAGTTGTTGAATTCCTCCTGCTATGTTAACTTCAAGTTATGCTATCAAACTGCATTTAGAGTATGTTTTGAATTGTACACAGCTGGTCAGAACACACCAACCAAGCTGCTTGCGGTATGAAAGCCTGTTAATCCTACAGGAAAATCTCTTCACAGATGGGCAGGGTCACCATCAGGTTACACCCAGCGCTAAAACAAGGTTAACAACCCTCGAGCATAGTTTGTACTTAACTCTTGTTACTGAGTATCTAATGCATGTATGGAGTTTTGCATTAGGTACTGTATGAAACTCGCTAGCATACTATTTATATCAACCACAAAAAAAAAAAGAAAATCACAGGAGGCCAAGTTTCACTTTAGTCCTTATTTAAAACGTTTTGTCCTTTTTATACCACCTAAATGTATATCTGTTCAGGAATCATAAACAAGTATGTTTGGGAACAGGGACATAAACATATCTGTGAAGCAAAGACTAGCTAGGGGAAACACAAGCTGGTACAGCAGCTCTCAGTGTGTATGTACATATCCTTATTAAGACAATAGCAAAGGGCAAGTAAACAATATACGTCTGTGTAGTATAACAAAATAAACAGTATAAACAAAGCAATAAACAATGCAAAGAGACAAGAAATGTTCATTAGGAAATGAGATAAAAATAGAGACCTGTACAAATCTGTATAATCTGTACAATGTGTATTTACAGGTATTGCACTGAGAGTTATTGTCCAGTCATACTGTCGTGGGTTAAGTGTTCATCAGAGCGACAGCCTGGGGGAAGAAACTGTCCTTGTGCCTGGTTGTCTTGTTGCACAGTGACCTGTAACACAGTCCAGAGGTGAGGAGTTCAAGCAGATTGTGTCCGGGGTGTGAGGGGTCTGCAGTGATCCTCTCTGCCCTCCTTTTGACCTGTGAGGTGTACAGGTCCTCCATGGAGGGCAGTTGGTTGCTGAGCCAAACCAGACAGTGGTGGAGGTGCAGAGAACAGACTCGATGATTCCTTTGTAGAATTGTATCAGCAGCTCCTGGGGCAGGTCGAACTTCCTGAGCTGGCGCAGGAAGTACATCCTCTGCTGTGCCTTCTTGGTGATGGTCCTGATGTTGGACGTCCACTTCAGGTCATATACACATCAACATATACACATCAAGACCAGGGAGCACTCCAAACAGAAACTACAAGAAAGCTAACAACTAAAAGAGGAAAGAACAAACCAGATGAGGAGCTGAGTCCATATGGAAGTCTGAAGGTAAATGCAGATGAGGTAATCAGGAGGACATACACAAGCAAGGACAAAACAGGTGGTGAACACAACAGGTGAGGTGAAACAGGAACAAAAAGCAGCAGGTGATGCAATGACAAACCAGAAACTAACTTATGCATGTGAGGTGAATTTAAATGCTGAGCCAGGGACCCAAACAAGCAACAGGTGAAGGCAAGAGAGGACAATCTGTGGTAGTGTAAAGCTGTGGCTAGTGAGAGAACAAGAGACAGGAAATGACCATAAAATAAAACCACAAATCAGGAAGTAAGACCAAAACCATAATAACAATTTTTTGTTAAAGAGAGCACTTCTCCAGCAGAAGCATGTTTACAGCTGCTGTGGACACATGAATAAAATAATCTCAGAGTGCAGACAATAAGAAAGAGAGGTTTATAACCTGCTGTGAGCTCTTAGCAGTAAAATATTTTAAAAATGATGATTTAAGCATGTTTTTCTATGTCTTTGGCTGTGTGTGTATGCGTGTGATGAGTTCTGTCTAGGTGGAGAATTGTAGCATTTGTTTGTCTGTGACATGCATCTTATTTTCTTCTCTGCTTCAGCTGGTAAACTTTAGGCCACAGTCTTCATATGTGATGACTACACAAATGAAAATGTCTCATCTTGAATGACAAAATAAAATCTCACTAATATATAAAGCTACTGTCTGTTAACATAGTCATGTCTTGATTGTGGGCAACAGGAAGTCCAGATAGAACTGGCTCATGCATTAAATCACCATGAGTCATGCTAGTCAAGCAGTTATGTAAGCATATGTTTTATAAATGAATGGATCACTGAATAGACCTATCAGGTACCAGCCCAGAGGTCAGGGTGGCTCTGGCTATCACCTGCAAAATGTCACCAACAAAATTACAAACCATCTACAAAGAAAAAATACACAAAGAGATAACAAATGGGAGGTAAAGAGAGGAAAAGTGACTAAAAGTAGATGCACAACAAGTTAAAAAAAAAGTCCAAATCTGCTCCCTTTCTTTCAATAACACACTTGTCCCTGAAAATAAAACATTTTCAGATGATTCTGACATACTCAAATTCATAACAGATAATCTTTTTGTCTACATCCCTGTTTTAGCCCCATGACAGAGCCACAACTTACTGATAAGAAGTGATCAGCTCCGACAGTGTTTGTATCGAGCAGGCAGGGCTGTGACTGAGACTTGACTACAACATGCAAATGAAAGGCAGTGGTTGGTGCAGATTTGTACTCTTGATGTGACATGGTTATTTCAAAATAGACAGTTTATACTAGCTTTTAAAAGCTTAATAGGACACAAGCCCCAGGAGATTATCCAGCAGCTGCTGGAGGCCACAGAGACAGGCAGCAATTAACTTCTGCTTGTGAGAGGACAGCTCCAATCAGTACCTCACATTTACATCAACACACATACCTCATTCATTTTCACCTCGCTTGCTGTAACTGAGGAATTAAAGATAATTCCATGAAGTCATTTGTTTAATCAACTCTATGTCCTCATTGAAACCCTCACACTGTGTCACATGCAGCCTGTCGCCTCCCCGGCCATGTTTCTGGTCAGTAGAGGGTGTCACTGAAATGTCATACTCTCTGCCAAAAGTGGATCAAATTTAAATGTTTTAAAACTTTCCATCAAATCAGAAAAACAAGATTGAAGACTGATTTAAGGGGCAAACGTTGTCACTCGGATCTCTCTACAGCATTTGATGCAAAACAGTTGCATCCCCTGGACCCTCTTTTGAAAGTGATCGTAGCCATGACATGAGTCTAAGGGTGACTGCTTCTCTGTCTGTCTGTTGGTCAGTCAATCCTGTCAGACTTTCTTAATGACAACTGAATGGATTGACACAAAATTTTTGTATAGATGTGTGTGTCCCTTAGAAACACTAGACGAACCCCTGACTCATCAAGCATTATAAATCTTTTTGTCTATGACCAAATATCTAAAAGACTGACAGTCCCACAGCCTCAACTGCACACTGGCAAAGTTCAAGACAACTGTAAACTCACTAGTGTATGATTCTTCTTCTTTTAGTTTTTGTTCTAAACATAACTGTTTTTGTAGTTGATTGAGGATTTTATATATTGTTGTATGGTTTTGGTATTGTGTGTATTTTATTGTCTGTGACTTTGTAACACTGCCATCTTGCCAGGGCTCTTTTGCAAAAGAGGTTGTAAACATCAAGATGATTTTCCCTGGTAAAATGAAGGTCCAATAAATAAGTTTGTTTAGTGCTAATTAGGAAATATAATATGATGAATGCTGTAACCATACATACATGTGAAATGTGACAAAACAAGATTACTGTAACCCTGACCTTATACAAAAAAATGGAAAAAACTGCTGAAAATTCAGATCAGCTTCATCATTTCCAGATGTAAAGCTTTTCTGTGTGAAACAAATGTTGTTGCTTTTGAAGTCAACTTACACTTCCCTTTTCTGTGTGAAACAAATGTTGCTTTTGAAGTCAACTTACACTTCTGTAGCTAACACATTCGAATACAGTACGTTTGCAACAGAGAATAGCACTCAGTCACTGGTGAAAATTGACAATACCGGCAGCTAATGAGACCATGCTGTTCCTGTCTGCTCACATTAGTAAGCCAGCAGAGATTTTGATGTGGTGAGGAGATGTAATGTGAGAAACAGTCAACACAGCACCCACAGAACTACACATACTGTGTATTTACACAGGTATATACAGAAGGTAAAGCCTGTGCACAGCCAAAGAGATTTGCATTTAGCTCAGTGAAACAAAGCAACATTATATTGCTGATAATACACTAACTCTTACAATAATGAGCTGAAACTGGAGAATATTAACAAGACATAGCTTATTATTTAACAAACTTTAATGACCATTAACATACTGTACAAAGACATAGCTTATCATTTAATGAACTTTAATGACCATTAACATACTGTACACTGTAATGTTTCAAAAAGGCTTAATAATTTCATAAAATATATACCGTAGGTCCTGTAGTTTTTAGACAATGCCAGTCAAACATGAGTGAACAGTGCATTTGTTGGGGATTGAGCTGCGGATTTTGTACTCCGCTGAGTATTTAGGCTGTAGGATCGTGTATGTGGGATTAACAGTGCCCATGTTCACTGTACTGAAGAAACATATCAGCCTGTGCAACATTTAACAGGTAATAGTTCTTGGACAAAAACAAGGAACTGTGAATAAGCTATAACAAGCTTTGACTACATAGGCAAAGTAGGCTGAATTTATTTTTGGCTTTGTTTATTTCATGAGATTCATGAAACAGTAAGAACAATTTAGACTATCACCAGAGTTATTCTGTAAATACTAACTCAAATATACCACAGTTGACAATCAGATGACATAAAATTTTACCATTATTACAAATTTGAACAGCACTAACAATGGACAGTCTAAATAGAGTGAGGCTCTTTAAGTATGATGACAGACAATTTGTGATAGGAAATGATGGAACTGTTTCTCTGCTCTCTTCACACTTGGGGGGAGCCAGACCAGTCTCAATAAAAGAAAAAAAAGATAAATACCATAAAGAGAGAGGAGCAACTAAAAAAAAATAGCAAAATGAACACCAAAAGCCCAGCTGGGATTGGCTCCAGCGACGCCATTCGGGACTAAGCGGTATGGAAAATGAATGAATGAACACCAAAGATTCTGCAAAGAAACACAAAACAGCTGCAAAGGCACATAGAACAGCTGCATGTCTCCTCCAGTTGAGGTGCTGTGCTCTTATGACTTAGGGCTGAGACTCTTTGTACCTTGATTGGACCCAAATGTATGTTTTATTGTTTTTATTTTTATGTTGTTACGATTTTAGATTTGTATTGTATGTTAAGCACTTTGGTCAGCTGTGGCTGTGGTAAAGCGCTATATAAATAAAGTTGAGTTGAGTTGAGTTATGTCAAACCCATGGGGGCCTTTATCACATCTGTGCCCAGAGGTTCATTGTCTCATTGTGCACCCATGTTGAGAGTTATAATTATAACAACAATACTACTGCTCCTCTTATTATGGTTAATACTAATAATGTGATGTTTTTCTGTCTTTAAGTCATATCAGTAATACTGTCAGTACTGCTAAAGACAGTACTGTAAATAAGCAGCTGCCTTAGGAAAATCATTATTCCTCCTATCCGGTTCAGGTGACCCTTTTCCCCTACTGAAATTACAAAGGTAGACCCTGTGCATTAATGTATGGATAATCAGACTAATTGATTCAGACTGAAACGTGGTGGCTGAGCTAGCGACATCTGGCAAGCAGATTAAGTCCATCTCCGTGGGCTGCAGTTGTGTTAGAAAGGGCTGGAGCTACACTGGTAAAAGACTAACTTTAAAAGAATACAGCAGTGTGGCATATTGGAAAAAAAAACACCTTTTTGCTTGCTGAGATTTAGATGAGAATTTTGATGCCATTCTCATATCTGTTTGTTAAATATAAAGCTAAATACAAGAGAAGCCTCCAATTCTTCTAAAGCTCACTAATGACACACCCAGGCATTTATTTAAAACAGCCCATTGGCTGTTTTAAATAAATGAAAGTAAGAGCCATTAACCATAGTAACGATGGACAGGCTAAGAGCCACCTAGTGGCCGGTTGCAGTATAGGTCATAAATCCCTCCTCCATGTTAGTGGATGGGACATGAGACACACTAAAAGCTCAAAGTACAAATCAAGTAACATTTTCCCAGAGGTCTCTTCAGTGGTTTTTGATAGATATTATCATTCTGTTGTGTGTACAATTGGCCATTTTTTCTGGTACATTATTTGATAATATACAAAGAGGTGTATTTCAGTCGATTTGACAGCTTTGATTCGTGATCTGATGCTATCACTTGCAAAAAAAGAAAGATGGCAGCTGCTCTATTCACAATATTTTGGCTTCATTTTTGCATAGTTGAGGGAAGTGGTGATGCCATATCCGTAGTATATATGTCATTGGTAAGAAAGCATTTATTTAGTGCATTGTCTAGTATCAATTTTTGGCTGTAATATAAATATAAAATTATTGTGAAGTGGAGTAAGTAAATCCTCAAATATTAGGTTGAAGTTCTCGCAGTTTTAATGTTTGACATTTACACACTCTGTAAACACACAGCAAATAATGTTCTTGCCTCCAAGCTGCTCCCTCAGTGTGGAAAGTATTTAAACGCACTGGTCACTGAGGAACTTACATGGGGAAAATACTGGGGAAATACATACAAAAGCTCACGTCAACTATTGTATATATTACAAAAAAGAGTGATAAGAATTGTGCATAACATGGGGTACAGGGATCACACCAATGCAGCTTTCATACACTCTAAATTGTTAAAATGTTTTGATTTAGTGGGATATAAGACTGCTGTGTTTATGTATAAAGCCAGGAATAATTTATTACCTGGTGGAATTCAAAAACTATTTAATGAAAGGGAAGGGGGATACAATTTAAGGGGCCAGTTAAATTTAAAAATTCATGCTATACGTACAACCAAAAAAAGATTCTGTATTTCCATAAGTGGGGTAAAACTATGGAATAATTTAAGTGTGGACATAAAAAATAGTAATAGAATTGACGAGTTTAAACATAAATATAAAGGTATGTGTCAATCAAGATATATGCAAGAACAGGCTTAATGATTAATTAGATGGAACATTGTGGGTGTGGTGTATGAATGTTAACACTGTAATAATTCTTTAGTATATTACTTGTGTGGTGTAGAAGAGAATTATTTATGTAGAGATACTGCTTGCAAACCAGTGATGGTAAGATGATGTCATGGGGTAGGACTGGATAAGTCTGACTTCTTCCTACTCCATTCAAGCATGTACTAGGTATAAGCACATTGATATTGGATTAGCATTTGTTGGATATGTGTATAATTATGTGTGTTGATATATCAACTGTTTTTACATGCTTGAAGGAATAAATCAAATCAAATCAAATCAAATCAAACTTTCTTTAATTCCGGGACCTCTTCTCCTCACATTGACATGCCAGGTGTGCCATGAAGTGATATTCTGAGACCTCATAATATAAGACGGCCACAATATACCAAACAAACACTGAGAGCTTTGACCATTAAAAAAGCTTTTGCCCCTGGGTGAAATGTTCTTGATGGGGAGAGACATGAATGAGTTTTGAGAATCAAAAGCTTGTTTCTCCAGATGCTCTGCGGGGGCTGCACTCACTCCACTTGAAACCTTTGTGTAGAATGCTGAGTGTGTCAGACACGGGCAGATGAATCTACAGGCACTGAATGAACCTGCAGCTTTTGCCCCTGGGTGAAATGTTCTTGATGGGGAGAGACATGAATGAGTTTTGAGAATCAAAAGCTTGTTTCTCCAGATGCTCTGCGGGGGCTGCACTCACTCCACTTGAAACCTTTGTGTAGAATGCTGAGTGTGTCAGACACGGGCAGATGAATGAACCTCCGGCACACCATATCTAAAACCCACCTACTGCTCACAACAATTAATTCTGAAAAACCAGCCATGAAGCAGACAGAAAACACACACACAGAGCTATGAACTGGTCGAACAGATGGAGGCTGGAATATGCAACCCCAGGAAGTGCACCATAAGAGAGCCAAGTGAAAATGCAATGGAGCAGACGGATCTTTGATTGGAGCACATCTACCTCTTGTTGTATCCTTTCACTCAACATGTTGAATTTCCTCTGTCCACCTCCATCTATCTTAGTTCTTAACACACAAACAAAGCAGATGCAATGACCACCATTTATCTCTTCAACCCTGAAATTACACAGTCTTGTTTCCCTAACTTTCCTCCAACTGACATGTGCACTCACACAGTCAGCACCCATACTGGCACTAACAACTAACACTCATACACAAATTGATGCACACACATCCACACACCTACACTAATGCACAATCCAGTGTGTAGCAGGCTTCATCACTCACCCTGGCTGTTGGGTCTCCCCTGTCCTGCCACGCAGTCCGTCATGTTGTCCAGCATCTGCTCTCCTCCTCGGGCTGTGCACACTGAGCACGACGCTTAGAAAAAAAAAAAAAACTCTGGGTGGGTTGAACCAAACAATAAAGATGTTTTACTTCTGCTTCTTGAAACCCTTTCTCTTTCGCCTCTAGTAGCTCAGTTAAAAAAAAAAAACAATAAAGAAAGGAAATCTATATTGTATCCTCTCTTTCACTTGTCTTGTCTGTACTCCTCTTCAGAAGGAGGATGGAGAGACTAAGAGGGGCTGCAGGGGAGAGTTGATGCTGGTTCTGTGTGTCACTCATATGCACGCTCTTGGTCTCTGTATGCCACTCAACCCCACAATCAATTTAAGCCCGATGACTACATTCATCATGTATTCAGAAGGTATTATCCCTTTCTCTCTCCCTCTGTCTCTCCCTCATGCATGTTCCATCTCATCATGAGAGAGGGATGGATGGAAGGGGGTTGAGAGACATACAGTAGGTCAGATGACACAGATTAAACATCTCCTTTGGTGTCCTTTTTAGATGAAAGATGAAATTCATTTTCATAACTGTGTATTCATCTCTCTTTTGTTATTTCTTCCCCACCCTGCATCTCTCCTTTATATTTTCCTGTGTAGTCGTGGTCCATTATCAGTGGCAGGGCTGCAGGCAGCTCTTGTATAACTCTGTGAACTTGCAACCTACAGTTGTTGGCCTGCTCTGGTATGTAAATATGCTTCTGGTCTCAGGGATAGGTTTACTTTTTATTTTAAATCTTTATTTAAATGACAAAACTGAAAGACAAGCACTTGACTGCTGCCCTGAGTGAGTTATAGGAAGTAATGACAAACCATAATCAACTACAAATTTCCAGGAAAGAACCATTTTAGCTGGTTCTAATAAACAATAATTAGTTGATTTAAACTATTTCTAAAAGCTAAGTGCACAGCCTTGAGGCCTTCATTTAAAAGGTGTCAAAAGTGTCTACAAGCAAATATTGAAATGAACATAAATGAAGAATAAACTTTCCAAAAATATGGAAATTAATTTGCCTGCCTGTACCTGTTTCAAGTGAGACTGCGCCTCATTTATTGTCTGTTCTATTTAAGACTCTTCAATAATTTGTGCTCATGTCATTTCATTTCTCAGGGCCCCTGTTAACAGGGCTGTGCTGCAGTGTGCATGCTATAAATAATGATAAATTCTTCGTTTCTACACATAATGGCCACCTGTCCAATAGTCGGCCAGAGTAAGGATAAATATATCAATTTAATAAAGATCTCATTTTATAATTAGTCATTTGATGTGGCTATAATCGGTACTGTTAATAGAAATGGTTAGTTTTAAATGGATTTTAAATGGATAATGATAAACCCACAGAGAATTATGACCACACATCGTCTCTCAGCCCTCTGAGCTCTGCAGAGCGTTGTAGTGTATTTCAGCTCTTTGGTTCAGTTTTCTGGCCTGAAACCTGGTCTGTTTTGATTCAGTCTCAACACTCCCATCAGAACAAAGTAATGTATTTAGCTGCTAATGAGAGATAGTTCCTCTAAGACTTGGTTGAGACCAAAAACAAAGCTTAAATTATAGTTAATACTGAACCTAGTCTTCACCTCGGGGCCAGAAACACAACTCCAGTTGATACTAATGTTACTGTGAATATATAAATAAGCAACAGTTTGCTAACAAGTTAAAAAGATGATTACTGTATACTGTATGCCAGTGCTGTGCTGCATTTTATTTCCATTGCCTCCCAGAGCCAAATTAAATTTTAGGTACAGCCCTCACTTTTTGTCTCTGTTCCTTTAATGTTCTAATATTACATGCACCTTACAATGTCTGCACTATATGCTACAGGCTGTGTGTATAACTGTGCAGCCTAACTCATTGTTTCCATGCCCTGTCAGTGAGAGTAGGCTGTTGGCTAGGCTTTGACTAGCAGAGAGCCTGAGAGCCGACAACATCTGGGCCAAGCGGCTTTAGCTCTTAACCCATGAGCTCCTCCCTCCCTCCCCCAACCCCCACTGCTGCACATGTGGCTCTGGTCACCAGAGCTCACAAACTCATCCACACCTACTATGCTTGCATAAAAAGCATGCAACACACACGCAAGTTGCCTACAAAGAAAACTCAAACACACGTACATGCACACAGACACGAACACACTGGAGTGAACTTTCTGATGCCCTAATCCTTCAGATTAACACCACAGAATGCTGGGCTGAAATCCACATTTTCTTTTTCCTGATCAAGCTCAGAGTCTGCTCTGCTACTTTTAGTTCTTTGTTCAGCTTCCCCGACAGCTGAGCACTGAGTTCACGTCTAATCCAACTATTCAGTTGAAAAACCTTGCCAACTATTGACAGGAACAAAAATTAGACCACTGTGATTGATCAGTGCCGTCAGCTCAAATTAGATTAGCGGTTTAATAAGAGGTTTTTTAAACACAGCCCATTATTTACTGCAGCATAATTAGAAAATAAGCAGAACCAAATGATTCACAACTGTCATATACAGTATACGTGTAAAAATGTGCACTAATAATGTGACAGTTTTAAAATATTTATTCCTCTTTATAAAGTTAGATTATGTTTTAATTACTTTATATCTACAGGGCACACAGCAAAAAGTAATAGTCATGTATTTAACCAAATGAGCCAGAAGGAAATTCTCCTGTGAACCTGATGTTTCAGGTTGTCAGCTCTATTGCTTTCCTTTGTACAAGTTATCTTTATTTTCGTGATGAACCGCAACTTGCTTTCTTTTTGAATCTTACAGTTTTAACTTTAAAACTCCCAAAATACAAAAAGCTAATTCTAAGAGCTTTTAGTACTTTTACTTTTAATACTTGAAGTAATTTTTTGATTATATCCAAATAGCTTTAATTAAGTAACATTTTAAATGCAAGGCATTTACTGTTTTGTATAGTGTATATAATCCTGCTCCTCTGCTTTTGAGATTTACTCCTGCTGTGCTGGCTGGTGACCAACAGATGGCGACACAGACTGTGTGGCTGTTCGTTCCCTGGGAAATGCTGTTGATTATTTGCACCTTTTTTTTTTTAAACAGAGTGAGTACTCTGCTTAGTCTTTGGTATATGTCTGTATCACTATATCATACTTGTCAGCACCTTGTGTTTTTGTCAAGTATTTTGCAATGTAGTTTTTTTCTGTCTTGTGTGACATCTGGCTCCAGCCTTGAGTTTTTGACTGTTCTGTCCTCACTGGCAGCACACTGGAATCTATATTCAGACAATCATGTATGAGCACTGGGATTAACGGCTCTCATACCCTGGTTTGCACTGATACAATGAGATAAATTACTGAGAGATCATTTGACCTGTGTTGTTTTGTGACAAGCCACAAAAACCTGGCAATGATAAAATTTCATGACCATATGGGAAGAGTATGGGGTGGGGGCAGGTTTTACTAAAACACAGGTTTACTAGTTAAATGCCTTTTTGTCATCTTCATGAGCCACATTAGAAGCTCAAAGGACTGCTAGTGGATTATCAGATACTATAAAACATGTTGTTTGTGATGGTAAACCAAAAACAGATGAAGTAGATTCACATTTCTATAATTACATCCAAAATGTTGGATTCCACCTCTTTATTTGTCACTTCATTTGGTTTTATAGGTAACAAAAGAAGGGCCACAAGCTCACATGAACTGCAAATGAGTGCTATGACACCACAAATCCCAACATCATTTACTAACAGGATGGTGAATGCCAAATACAGATTTCAAAAATATATATATAAAAAACATCTTTCTTTGTCACTGCCTTACCCCCTTATGTAACCTCCACACCACACATTAATCACAGTCATATTTGCAGTGTTGTTGGCACAACATAAGTGAACTCAGATATCTCCTCAGTGGGTGGCTACAAGGAGCAGCAGGGACTCCCTACCACATGTTGAGCTAAGTCAAGCCAGAACTCTATGGGCAGCCCGGGAAGAATGCAGTATATTTGAATTATTTGATGACCCTCATTACAGCCAGATAATCTCCTCTCCAGAGGAGTCCTCCAACTTTGTAGAGAGCTGATCACCTGGGTCTGACGTTTTTTTTTGTTTTTTTTTTTCGTGTACCTCTGCTTTGAAATTATTGGTATCCCTTCAGAATAAAGAAAAGCTTGTTTTATGTTAAAGGAACACATAGAACAATTTTTATCAAGTTAATTTTTTACTTTGTAGTCATCAGAGAGACACAGCAGTGCTTTTGTTCTTGTCATTTAATTCTTAGCAAAAAAGCACATTTCCAAAAATGTCCATTATTAGAAACTTGCAATTGGATAAAAAAAGGTAATGATCTCCCATGTGAAAACATGAATATTAATTTGATCAGATACTTTTGACAAGTAGTTGTAATGACTGGAAATCAAAATATGTAAGTTCATTCATACTGACAAGCTGTTTGTCATTTTAGTACCCTATTAGTCAACACAGTGACTGGACGCAGTAAAAACAAAATAATAAAGTGCACATGTTGTATGTATTAGACACTGCATTTCTATTTCCTGTATATTTAATTCATTAGTCAGAAGACATTTGAACATATTTCATATTTATCTCATAGAAAACAGTCAGACAGTCTGTTCATCATCACAGTGGGTGGACATTTGGAGAGGAAGCAGCTTGATTGAGTCTGTAAACAGCTTTTTCCCCCTCAAAGGTATGTCAGTGCTTTAACAGCTTGTAACCATTTTATGTAAATCATTTGTATTATTTTACTTGTCTCCTAAAAGTTCTTGACTGCTTAGCCAGGCTGCCTTCAAAGTCAACAGTGATAAGAGGTTTGGAAAAGTTTTTCAGCACAAAACAAGCAGATGGTGATGGCTTCAGACAGAATCCACAGATAGCAGGTTATTTAAAAACTCATTTAGAACATTGGAGTGAATGTGCAGGAGTGTCTGCTTCATTAGGTTTCTTTTTAGGTCCCTGGAGCTCCTTTGAGTTTTAGTAATTTGCCTGTTAGATTTGAACTTCAGGAACTGGCAAGCATGCATCTTATGTTTAATCACATCATCCTGGATTAAGATGAATAGCTAATTTCTTACATTCTGCTACCAATAGCATTAACAAGTTTGTTACCAGCTAACCAATTTTATATCAAAGATCACATCAGATATGGAGGCAACAACTTTAGTATTTGGATTCATATCGCAGTGTCGAGCACAACGATGTAAATGCAACCTCAAGAAAATTTGACAAAATCTGTTGTTGTAAAGTCAGACAGTGAACACTTGGTGCTTTTGATACAGGCTACTCAGTTTTCATAGCAATCCATTCAATAGCTGGTGAAACATTTTACTCAGAACCACAAATGTGAACCTCATGATGCAAGAGAAAATGTCAGGAGATCATGAAGGAATTCTCTGGAGACTATGAATGGCTGCATAAAATTTAATGGCAAATCATTTAATAGTTACTGACATATTTCGGTGTGAATTAAAATGGTGGACCGACACATTGTGTGACTATTTTGACTAAAAAGTAATTGTGATCTTTTCAAATGAAAGGCAATCTTTCTCTGTGATTTTGGAGATTGTGATAATTAATCCTAACAAACATTGCATGAATGTTACTCATCCCTTTTGTAAACATTTAGTCAGACCAGCCAGAACCAATAATAATATGTACTGTAAAATGACAATATGAAAACAATTTAAAACATCAACTGTAGAATAAACCTACAGTAAATGATCTCCAAAATCTGCAGTTCCCCTCAGTTTTACAGAGCTTAATTTTCCTCAGGAGAGTGAGAGAGCAAGAGAGAGAGGGTGAATATTGGAGTTACACTGACCAAGTGGCCATGGACTGAAGGATAACGTTGCTCCATAACTGTTGAATGCACAACTGTTTGCTAATATGTTTGCCATTTGTTTCTACTCATAAAGGTTAATTTTAGACATCAATAAAATAGACATCAATAAAAACCCATTGTCATCAAATGAGGATTCATGATATATCTTTCCTTGCTATCACACCATCATAAAACCCCTTTTAATTATCAACACTCAACCTAACATCAGGATGCTGACATACCGCCATGGGTTATATGTTGAGATGAGGTAGGAGTGTCCATCTTGTGCTTAAGCAACATGAAAATATTGAGCAAAGAGGCTTGTTTGATCCTGTAGTCTGTGGTAGCATCTGTGGTGTGAGAGGATATGAGCTCTGAAAAGAAACACTGGATGGTGGCAGTACAAGAGGTTTTCTACCCTGCTCTAGCAACAGCAGGCATCCCTTGTAAGTACACCTGAACTCGTTTTCAGAGTTATAGCTGTTGGCTGATTTCATGCCATATCTATAATGTTGATTTAAGGGATAAACTGTGATAATAGACATACAATTCCTTTACTGACACAAATTCTGCCCTCAGCCAACACCATCACCTTTTTGATCATCTGGAGGAGGAACTGCATGCTCTCTAAGTCCAGCTCCTTCTATCTGATGGCTATCTCTGTGGCTGACAACCTTGTCCTGATTCTCATTGTGCTTCTTGAACTTTCTCTTAAGTACCACTAAGAGGATCTGTTTTGGAGTTATGAGCCATGGTGCAGCTTGAGAGACATCTTTAACTATGGAGCCTATAATGCTTCAGCATGGCTGGTTGTTGTGTTTACAGGTGAACTTTTTGTGTCCATACACATGTGGAAAATAAAAACTAAAGTCTGCACCCCAAGATGTGCAGCGTGGACTATTACGGCAGTCTTCCTCTTCAGTCATCTTTTTGCCATTCCTTACTACTGGTCTAATGCCTCAGTCTATGTGAACAACCAGACCAAGTGTATTTACAATCAAGAGGTCCCGCCTCAGTTTATTCACACCTTGGTTTGGGTTCAAACAGTGCACACTTGCATATTCCCCTTCCTCATCATCCTCACATTTAATGGGTTGACTCTCCGTCTGAGCTCTCTCAGCAATCGGGTTCATATCAGTGCAGATTTGACTTCCAGGGTGAAAAGGGACATGCCCCTGCTGCGTGCCAGGAAGAGAAAATCTATGGTGCTTCTGGTAACTGTGTCCATGACTTTCGTGTTGCTGTCAGTCACCCGTGCTGTAACTCAGATCATCCTCCGCACGACTTACATGTACACTTTTGATCGTAATGATTACAGCTACCAGATAAATATAGCAGCAGACACTGGCACCATGTTGAGCCTGAGCAATGCAGCTGTTAACATGTACCTGTATGTCTGCACCCAGTCTAAGTTTCGCCAGGAGCTTTTAACCTGTGTAAGACAGGTGTCCTTCTACTGCAAAACAAAGCTCTAGAAAAAAAAAAAAAACTGTCACTTTACTAAGCAAAACAACTGACACATTTTCCTGGAGGAAATGTGTACAGGTTGCACTTTGCCAGTGTCAGGTAACAGAGGATATGATCTCGTGGCGTTCTTAACCTGTTAAAGACTAGGGCTTTAATTGAACTGAGACTCCATAAAGCACAATTTAATTTTCTCTTACTCACTCTGTCCCTCTATTATAGAAGGGAGTCGGTTTGTCATGGTAACACTCATATATGCCCTTGACATGTGAGTTTATACTTCAGAATTAATTTCCTGCAAATGGTTTCTGAACCCAGAGTAAATAAACAAGAAGGTGACAGCAGTTTAAAGTTCTTGGTGAGGCAGATCACAATATGTTACTATAAAAACAGGTAGCATAATGAATGTGTAGTGTGCTTGAGTATTTCTAACTTGACCTTTTGTGTGGAGATAACTATGAATACATGTTTAAACTTGAAGAAAGTGAACTACAGCATAAAGACAAAAAAAAAAGTTTTTTTGTAAAACATGTGAAGCAATAATTTAATATTCAAGCATGTGTTATTTGTATTTAGGGCCATATAGGCTTATGGATTATATACTGAATGTATTTTAAACTTTTTTTACTATGAACTCTGGTCTGCAATAAAAGTATATAAATAATTTCCGTCGGGTTAGTGCCTTTTAGAAATTGTCATTACACTGCAACAGTTAAAGTTGAGTCAATAATCCAAAAAAAAACAAAACGCAACCTCTGACAAAACCAACCAAAATCAAATTAATGTCAAACTCTGAGAGAAGAGTTTCCTGTAATCTTTCACCATCAGAAACTAATGACCTTGTTGTGAAAACGGAATCATCTCTGGGTGGCAAAGCGGAACAACAAAATACGAACAGCTTCATTCATCAATCTTCACAAGTCGACAGTGAACCAACTTTATTCCATGAATGGCTGACAGCTTGTTGTTGTTGTTGTTGTTGTGTGTTTACATACAGCAAAGCAGCTTTAAAAACAGTAAACAGCTGGTATAGCAGGTTGAAATGCTACTTCTTCTTGCCACCTTTTGGAGCTTTGTCTAGTCCTTGGATGCACTTGCGAGGAATATGATAATGATCTGAAAATGAAAGAAACAATTAGATACTAATTTTATTTGTAAAAATAAAGCACCTGAACTTAACATTTAATGGAAATGTTAAGCTATTTCAAGTACTATTAAGTTCCAAACCTAACAGCAAATTGCCAACGTGATGAATCTGGTTGCCTTGGATCTGGACCAGGACTTTGTCCTTGGCCCCAGGGATGGCCTGTAAGACGGAGCTGGCCTGGACTCTGCGCTGCAAAGCAGTGGCCACCACAGCGGGATCCAAGCCATACACTTCCAGGTTTTTTATTAGAGTAACCTACAGGCAGCACATTAGCAGTTAAGAAGCAGTTAAAGCCTGAACAGTAAATCAGCCAAGGCCGACAGATGAACCACTATAGCTTACCACCGATACACCTATGTCATGTCTAACAGTCAAATAACAAGAGACATCACTACAGATTTCCAAGCTATGGCAGTGGCACCAGTGTTAGACTGTCCCAGCTAAAACAGTTCAACAGCGGTTGGATGAATTGCACATTTGTGATGAACTACAATGTCTCTACAACAATTAGAAAGACTGTCATGGAATTTGACATTTGTCCCCTCAGGATCAATTATAAATAAATTACTGGATCTCTTAAACTTTTCATGTAACACTATCATCAGGTCAAAATTTCAATTTGTTGTTTATGACTACCCACAAAACAGACATTCCCATCAGCCTAGGCTGTACATATATACGTATAGTGCTAACTAGCAAATGCTAGCATGACAACAAATGAAAATAAGATGAACACGAAAAACATTATTCCTGATAAACATGAGCATATTAGCATGCTACAGTTAGCATTTATCTGAAAACACAGCTGTGTCTCAGTACACACATTCACCTAATCTGGACCTGGCAATCACTACAACAATGTTAAGTTTTCACCTTCTTATTAGAGCCTCGAGACGCCACAGAGATGTCTATGGGCTCGATGCGACCCTTCTTTATTATGGGGGCTTGTCCAGGGAATTCAACTTGATAGCACTCCTGCATTCCTCCCAAAGTCCTGTGAAAATCAGGTTTAATCAACACCAAATGTGAGATGATAGAGTATCTGATACCTGAAGGTCAAAGAGACCGAAATGCTGTTTGTGCATGGATAAATGTAGCTTAAGCTTGACAGCATGTGGGAGTTTCTTATAGTGTTGTTCTGAGTGGATTATTTCTCCTATGCACCTGTTGTATACTCAGGTGTGCAGAGACACTACTTGAACTGCTGAAAACTAAAATTTGGTAAAACTGTAAACTATTTGTAAGTATGGATAAAGTACAACATGAAATGGCAGCATATATTATGCAAGGACCCTTAAAATACAAAATAAAATACTACAAGTCTTTACCTGCTAAATAGGTCATCCCACTTGAGAAACTCTACATCCTGGTACTCGGATTTCTCCAGCAAGCAGTCACATACAGTTGGGTTTATGGTCACATAACTGTCAGAAGGGAGAAAAGCAATGATGCGACTTGAATAAGCACAGCATACAGGCGATGGATCACTCAACAATGAACCATTTAACTGCCTTAGTAAGCAGTGACAGCTCCATAGCAGACTTTAATTTCTCCATCATCTATTTGTGCATCAGGAGAAGATGCACAACTGTTAATGCACTAAAAAGAAACATGAGATATCTCTTCAGTTTGAGTCACATTTAAATATTTTAATAAATCACATCATCATCAGGTCTATATTTGTACATTTGTCATTACTGCTGCCCTTCTATTGCGATAGTAGACATAAAAAATACTGTACGAGTGTTGTGTTCTGCTCAAAGTTGACATACAGTATTTACAAATATCCTGTCTGAAATAGATGTGGCCGCCCAGCCAAACTGAGTAATTGGGATGAAGGCCCTTGGTCAAAGAGGTAACCAAGAACCCAAGGGTCAATATGGATGAGATCCAGAGCTGCTTTCTGGAACGTTACAGAAGGACAACCATCAGTATAGCACTTACCACAGTTTGACTGTGAGATGCGTATCCATTAATACATTGTTAAAATGTGGAGGTCATCTTCAACACACAAAGGTCCTCCTACAGAATTTAAGCATGTACTTACTTTTTATTATTTTTATCAACCAGTTCATTCTTCTTCACATATTCTGTGACAATACTTCTCACTTCAGCAGGCTGCAGGATTGTGCCTTTCCTGTTGGAGCAACAAAGCACATGTGAAAAGAATAAATGTGCAAATGTGGGAAAAACAAACAAACATATAAAAGTATCTTCAGCCAAAGGTTACCGAATTAAACACCAGCTGAAAAATAGAGCTGGCAAAACACAGTTTTCCTTTTTCTTTATTTTATGTATCCAATGTTTTTTTATTTATAGAGCGAGGTTTATAATGTGGACTAATGTCACACACTGTACCGCAGCACTAACATTCTGAGCTAGTGTGCGCTGGTCATCCCTAGATGGACTGGACAAGAAAATACAAACAAAACAGCCCAAAACATGAAAATAACCTTTTTAAAAAGATCCCCACTAGACACGTTTTCAGACATAAAAATACTCTAATTGGAATAATAATGTCATTTTTTCCATCACACACACAAAAAAACCCATGAACAAATCTTAAAATTACATGTACTCCAACCTGTGAAAATCCATAAAGTATGAATATAAACAACACAGAAATATAAAGTTGTAGAAAGCTGGGAAAATTATTATTTTGTTGCTTTTTGAAGTATAAAAATACAGATATGAAAAAAGAGCCTTTATACAAATATGAACTTAAAAAAATAGAAAAACATCAAACTGTAATTCTGGCATCTGATAAAGCACTTAGCCTTAAGCAGACATCACAGCATGCTAACACTTTTAGCCAGTCTCTGTTCTTCATTTAAGATCTTGCACTCTCTCTTCCTGCAGATCAGTACAAGTCTGAGATATTTTTAGGCTGTCTTGCACAAAAGCATGTTTGGGATTTACCCACGGTCGGGACTGCGAGGGCACATCCAAAAGCTTCAGCTTGTGTTTCTTGAAGTACTTCATGGTGGATTTTGAGGTCTTCTTTGAATCATTTTCCGGTTACAGAAACCAGCCTTTTTTCAGTTTCAGTTTATTAACTGCCTGACATTTGCATCAAAATTCCTGGATGGACTGATTGATTAATAGGATCCATTCTTCGCTCTTATCTGTACAGTGTTTCCTGTGCCATGGGCTGCCACACAACCCCAAAGCCAAATCTTTCCATCCCCATACTACACACAGTTGGCAATAAAGAGGGTTTCTAAGTACAGACTTTGCCTTGTGGGGGCTGTGCTGTTTTATATACTGGTGAGACTTTGAAATATGATTTGGGAAGTCTAGTTGGTGGAACGGATGCGCTTTTAAATCATATTAGACAGAAAACAAAGCTATAACAATGAACACTTCTCTTTTATAAAACATTTTCTCAGCATAAAACCATTACACTATATTGCGACTTTAAAAAATTCTACAATATAACTTTTTTGGCATGGCAAAGTAGGAGAAGCAATAATGGCTGAATTCCATATAGCTGCTTCAGTTTCGGTTGAATAAAACAGGGCAATCATTAATGTTACTAGCAACCCTTATACTTTTCCTATTATGACAAGTCAATAGACCTGCATAAAGAAAAAAGCTGGGATTCAGTGACATTAAAGTCAACATAAAATTTGTGGATGTGTGCTAAGGTTCACCTCTCTCTGTTATGCGCTGTGTTCTCATTCCTTGTGGAGACTTTACATTGACTTACATTCATTTGCTGTAGACTTATTCTTACCTTAACCATAACCACTACTTGCCTAACACCTAACCTTAAACCATGCTGCCACCCTAAAATTCAGTGATAATGGCTGAGTCCCCACAATGTCAGTGTGTTAACAGGTTTCAGTCCCCATAATATAAGAAATACAAAGGCACACACACACCCACCTCTTGTTTGCATCCAGAAACAGAGGCTCCACCCGAGCAGAGACAGAGTACAAAGTTGTGATCTCAGGAGGATGGTACAGAACGTCTCCTTCCCCTCCGTCCTTCACCGCAGCTGCTTCAACATCTGTCTCCTCGGGAACACTGAAGGAACGCAGTCTGTAAAATGTTAAAAGTAACACAAAGGAAAAGCACAGTCAGTTTGAATGTGGGCGAGTTGTGAGACTGAAATGTTTTTATGTTAACTCACTCCAGACTTTTCCAGTCCACCTCCACAATGCTTTCCACCCCCTTGGTCAGTTCTTTCACTCGCACAAGGTTGTGCTGCTGTTGCATGGCCTGTAAAAACTTAGACAGCTGTTGAAAAAAATAAAGCATTGTAGCCATAGTTACCGGTGGAGTCAGAAATCAGTCATTATGTGTAAAATCTCACATTCTAGATATGTGATATACCTTTTTATAGCTGGATTTCTTTATATCAAGCTGCTTTCCACTTGGGCTGAAACAATGCAATATGCTGTCAGTACTACATTTAAGTCCTCCTCAGCACTTCTTTAAAATGAACTGTACATTACCAGCAGGAGAACATGTGGTTGCGGAGAAATGTACTGGTCAGCAGAGGGAGCTCTGACTTCTTCACCTTGCTCTTAAGAGCATGCAGAAAACACTGTAACAGCAGGGCGTCCATCATTGCTGTGAAATCAGTACATGGCCTGGGTCACAACCTTTTCTCTCTCAACATGCTCCATTAGGCCACATCAGAAAATCTTGTTCTTCCAGTTGAATCAGAAAAACATACTCATATGGTCATGAAAAATTCAGCAGGGCCTCCCCTGCAACCATGTAGTACCGAGTCTCAATTGGATTTGAATTTGGAATTACAGTACTTATCAAGCTGTGACTGAGTCCCGTTAAAAGCTTATTCAACAACTGTGGTGGTTAGTACTTCAAAGCCAAATCCACAACTTGTAATAGTTGTTTGTTAAATGTCATTTTGGGAGATGTAACAAAATGTGGTACCTTGCGGTGTTTTCTGGTCCTCTTGGTTCTCCTCATCTTTCTCATTGCCCTTTACACCATTCTCTTCCTCCTTCTCAGCCAGGCTCAGCTCCTCAGTACTAGAAGAAGCTTGATCTGTGACCGTTTCACCATGAGTCTGCTGCTCCTCATCCACACACTTCTCATCCTCTTCCTTCTCATCCTCTTCATCAATCTCACACTCTCCTCCATTCGCCCCTTGTTCTTCACTCTCTGGATCTGGTAAAGAAGGAGGACCTGACTTGTCTCCAAAAGCCCTACAAGAAAAGTTAACAAAAAACTTGCGAGTTTTACTCAACCATAGAGCTGCACGTAGAACCTTGTTAATGAAATCATGTTTTTGTTATGGCTGTGGATCAGTGCACTCCCAGCACTTCATCCACCAACAACTCTGCCCCGACAGGTGCTGGAGTGCACTCCCGGCGACGAGGTACACCTGCTCCCAATCAGCGGCGCATTACTTAAGGTTAGCATTGGTTAGCATGATCTCTCAATGTCCAGCAAGTATTCAGTAAGTTGCCGAGCTGTCTAACTTGTGTTTCTTTTTTTTCCTCAGTGATCTCAGTATTTTTTCGTGCGTCTTTGCTTTCTGCCAGAGGAAATCCCCCGAGTATTTTTTGTATGAACTATGGTTTCTGGGGATCCTGTTGTCTTCCCATCAGTTTGAGTTTTTACTGGATGTTTTAAGTTCTCCCTGTACCTGTGCACCTGCTGCAATCTCCTCGCAAGTTAAGAGCTTTTTTTTCTAGGAAGATCCTGTGGGACTGTACGTACCTCCACGGCGACTCGTCTACCCAGGTGCGCCTCTCACACTGGCGTAGACCTGGGCTGCTGACACACCTGCTGTGAACCATGACTTCCACTGCCAGTGGATTCACGCACCGACCAGCAGACACCTCATCAGCTGCGCCTCCCTTCACAACTCTCATTCATCATAACCCAGGCTCTCATCATTTCTTTCCCACATAAAGAGTCTTTGCTGATCTGCCCAGTCTTCTCACCCTCCGTCTACCCAGGTGCGCCTCTCACACTGGCGTAGACCTGGGCTGCTGACACACCTGCTGTGAACCATGACTTCCACTGCCAGTGGATTCACGCACCGACCAGCAGACACCTCATCAGCTGCGCCTCCCTTCACAACTCTCATTCATCATAACCCAGGCTCTCATCATTTCTTTCCCACATAAAGAGTCTTTGCTGATCTGCCCAGTCTTCTCACCCTCCTCTGCTTTCAATTCAGTGGTTGCCTCTGTCTGCCGCCAACCCCGGGTTGCTCATCTAGCGGTCCAGTCAACACAGCTCCCGACCAGCAGACACCTCATCAGCTGCGCCTCCCTTCACAACTCTCATTCATCATAACCCAGGCTCTCATCATTTCTTTCCCACATAAAGAGTCTTTGCTGATCTGCCCAGTCTTCTCACCCTCCTCTGCTTTCAATTCAGTGGTTGCCTCTGTCTGCCGCCAACCCCGGGTTGCTCATCTAGCGGTCCAGTCAACACAGCTCCCAGTCGCCCGTGGCCAGCTGACACGTCCACACTACATATTATTTTCTGTTACCACTTCTGATTAAATCGTTTTGAGCTTGAGTGTGTGTCCGAGTCCTGCATTTTACTGGGTCCATTTTTATTCCTGACGGCTAGCCGTAACAGTTTTGCACCAATTCTACATTCAAGACCAGTTCTATTTAGAGAAACAAAATTGTGAATATTTTGATAAAAATGCTAGGTATAAATATGCAGCTCAGTATATTTGCAAACATGAACAAGCTATGAGAGCAGATGCTTTGGCTGAAAAACTGCTCTGTAGTAATGCCACTAATTGTTGGAAGGAGGTGAAAGCCTTGAACAGGGGCAATATCCTGCTTCCTTGTGCTATGGACGGAGTCTTTGGGGTTGATAAAAGAGATGAGTTATGGACACACCATTATTCTGCCCTGTTTAACTGTGTTAAAAGTGACCCTTTTGTAGTGTGTAACTACCACTGAGGTCTATCAAGCAATCATGCAACGGTCTATAAATAAAGCTAGTAGTTCAGATCAAATTACAGCAAAGCACTTGAACTTTGCAAGCCCTAAGGTTGCAGCACCGTTAGCCAATTGAATTTACTGGTTTTATGACTCGTAAGTCGCTGCTCCAGTCAGTGTTGCCTGTTACTTTGGTGCCTGTTAATAAAGAAAAAGAGGGTAAGGTTGGAAGCCTGGATAACTATAGGCCAATTTCCCTAGTTAGTGTCATATCTAAAGTATTGAAAAGAATTTTATCATACAATTTAAATGATTATATCTGTACCACAGACAATCAGTTTGGATTTAAACACTGACTGGTGTATCTATGCCATGAAAGAGGTAATTCAAATGTATAGAAAAGTTCTTCTGTGCTGGTTGGATTTATTGATTCCTCCAAGCCAGCGGCCAGTTGAATTAGCATAAAGACTAGAACAGGAGGGAACAGCTATTCTGGCTTTATGCAGTGGGAACAAAACAGCCCGTTTCCAATTTTCACTCTTAACTACATTAAGCTAAAGGGCTGCTGGCTTCACTGTTAACAGACAGCTAAGAGTGTGGTATCAGTCTTCTAACTTTTGTTGAGAAAGCAAAACAGTTTTTCCCAAAATGTCAAACTCACACAGTGTAGGAAGATAGAAGCTACTCACCAGAGATTATCCATGTATGTGTGGAGGACACACACTCCTCTTCCTTTCATGCCCAAATTCTGCATCTCTGCACTGGACACTGCAGCTGTGCCGACTGCAACAGGAGCACTACAGCAAACAGGGGAAAAAGTGACACATTTAAATCATGGTCAGATGTCTTTTCAATCTTTTATTATAACTTTAATCATAACCTACCTATTGTTCACCAATGTAACAGCACAGCAGTCGCCCTGTTTCAAATCTGGGAGACCACTTGAAGGCACCACCACACCCGGCAGCATGAGATCTTTGGGGAGACACAAGATTAGTTTCCTAATATTAATTTAAATGTACAGTAATAAACATCTATCCAATTCTCCATTTAGGAAAAATGAGTCTACCTGCCCCTCCAATCAACTTCTGAAGCACAGGAGGCCATGTCCTGAATGTTGGCAGGACAGTAGGGTAGCGCCAAAGAGCGTACACTAAAAAAAAATGACACTCCACAGTGAAAAAGGAGCTTACAGTATTTTATTCACACAGTCATTTCAATGTTAATTAGTAGCCAGCTTATTACCTGTAGGATAAAGTTGTTTTTCCAGTTCAAAAAACAGTGGGTTTTTATGAAGAACATATAGTTTCACTGCATCTCCCTTGTGTGCATAAATCTTCACTACATTTAATTCCTCTTTGTTGGGAACCAGCTCAGATAGCTCATCGGCAGACAGTGAAGGAAAGGCTGCCGATATGTTATCCTTGAGCTTTCTCCTGAAGGCAAAAACAAAATAAAAATTCTCAGTCACTGCGTAATAAACTGCTGCCACAAATATACATTTAATATACTTTATAGTTGCAGTAATAAAAAGTATATCAATATTGTTTTCTTAACTTTATATGCTGCTGTTTTCACACACCCCAGTCATACCACAATCCATACTTTCCTCACACTGAAAAGCTACTGTAACTGCTTAACAGACCAAAGCACCTGAATGCATACAGTACAGAGTACTGTGTATATTTTTATTTCAATTTGTCTTTAATTTTAAGGTCTGCTAGTATTAATAAGGCTACACCTAACGACTATTTTCATTTCCAATTAATCTGTCAATTACTTTCTCAATTAATCAATTCATATTTTTCTTTAAAATTTTATAAAAGGTTTTTAAAAATGTCCACCAGCATTTCCCAAAGCCCAAATTGACACCTTCAGATATTTTATTTTGTCTAACCAACCGTACAAAACCCAAAGATATTCAGTTTACTGTCATTCACAGTCAGAAATACAGAGGTGGAACCAGAGAATTTCAGCAAAATTATGAATTGACTATTATATAATTACACGAACACTTTCTGCTTAATAGTCTGTTGAACAATTGACAACTTTCTACAGTGAAATAAGTAACAAGTGTTGCATTTCATTTTGAGAGATGCATGGATTTATTAAACTTGAAGCGTCATGGAAAACGAGCTCAACACAAACACAACATTTCAAAACACAAACACATTTTCCATTGATGTGGAGTGACGTCTAACGTTAATGTTTGGCCGCTTTCTGACGTGAGTGTCTACTCTGCAATAAAACACTACGTAGAAAAACGTGTAATATGAACTATACTTAGCAATAAATGGGTAAAAGCAACGTTGTGCGCTGAGCCGTGGGCAGCACATAGCAGCACTGACTCACCTGTCTGATCCTTTGATTACCGTGTTAGATTTGACACGAAACGGTCTGACAAACATATTCTCAAAATATAAGCAACGAATTTAACATGCCCACTTAACTATATTTAATACACCTGCACAAACACGCCAAAACAATGTCCCTGAAGCAGAGAACATTAACTTTACAGTAAACAACTATTCCTGGTCCGACGCGTATTTATGTTCGATGCGAAACTGTACCGCTGCACCGTCATATAACATTAGTTCCGCACAACGAGTGAAGTACAAAACTGAGGTAAAATTTGATTACATATTGTGCTGTTTAGTCTCCTGTTTGACAGATTTCAGAATGTGTCAGAGCTCAGTTGTGACACCTTGTCATATAATTTCTGGTTGTTTACAGAAATACTCAGATGTGCCTTCATAACTAACTGATTGTCCTTAATAATGTGGTTTAAGTTTGACCTATACAACCAAATCCATTTTGTCTGACCAAAGCTAAAATGTACATTGTGTTCAAGCTTTCAGGCTGTAGCCAAATCTATCAATATGTGACAGCCATACAGAATATTTTGAATTAAACACGAGACAGTACTTTGAGCATTTGCATTCTTTTTTAATTTAGTCTTACTTTCAGAAACATCCACAGAAAACAAAGCTCTCTTGCTATGTACAAAATATTAATGTCTGTTGCATGAGGTGGATTATAGTGAGATTTAGCCATTGTTTTAATCATAAATCAGTAATAAATACAACATCAACTGCTACTGTAGACTCATCTTTGGGGAAGGATTTCCACAGATAATTAATGGTGACAGCACAGTAATAACATAATTATAGGCCCAGATTCTTAAATATAGGACCCCACCCCCAAAATTAGTATTTACTGTTGCATATTTGGTTTTAATGTTAGACAACAGGTTGCTTTGTTCTGTTATGACTAAAAATCTGCCAAGTCCTTTGTGCAAAAGAGTTCCATCTGTCTTCAGCTTCCTCCTCTCTGTAATTGTTTGATGATTAAATTCTATTACACACTGTATGACTTCCATTTGCAGCATGCTCTCATGTACTTCCTCACAAAAGGCCACAGAAACAGTCTCTCCAGCTTGAACACAGTAACTGCCAAAAGTAGTGCGCGTCCGGAGCGGGCCTGCAACAAAAAAAAAAAAAAAAGTTTTAAAAAAACATGTTTAAGGAGGATGACTGTGAACTAATAACAGGGTTTGTCATACTTTGTACCACATACAGTGTCTAGAAGACAAAAGTATGTTGTATTCTAAGGGTTAGATTTTTAAACTTGTGTTGTGTGAAAAGTAACATAACACTAATTACAGCATATAGCCTGGCTTGTTAAAGTTTCTCTCCCATAAACTTCCACCCTCTCCATAAACGCCACACCACAACAATAAACACCACGGCAGACCTGGAATGACTGTGCTAAGAAACAGTAAGGGAAAACAAGGTTGTTAAAAAACTGATTTCTTTGTTTGATTAACATGGCTGGAGGTGATATGTTGTTGACTGACTCAAAGGATGACAGTGAATGACTGTAGCCTACAGTACCTTCACATTTCTCTCCTCTGGTGTCCTGGACAGTTTCTGCAGCACACAAGACATGACAAACTTCTCTAAGCTTAGAATGCTGCGTCTGGAAGTCAATGAGATCACCCCTGCTAAAGCTGCCTATTGTTTGCAGCATGTTGCCTATATTGTTGTATAGCACATGCTGACCTCTTTCAATGATATGTCTCTACTCATCCTGGTTGTAACAAACTTACCTCCCATCATTTACCTTGTATCATTCACAGTCCTTCCTATCAAAACATTTTCAGTGTAATGTTTCATTAAACATTATCTGTGAAATACCACAGTTGTATACTCATGTATCCAGATGACAGGCATATTGATGACAGAGAGTGATGAGAAATGGCCAGATGACTGACATGCTTTCAACAAACTAATTGTATTATCAGTTCGAGTATTCTGGCAAAAAATTATTCTGGCTCTAAAAAACAAGATGGGATTACAAGTTCTGCTTGTATTGTGTCAGGGAAAGTTTACCTGTATAAAACAAGCCAGTTATCAGTATGGGATCCAATTTGGATCTTTGCCTCCACCATGTGGCACGAGGTGCACAACAGCACGATGAGCAGCGGAGATTCTCATTATTATTTGCCAAGGTCACTTTTTAATGTCAGTGGATACATTAACTATTAATTGCTCTGGCTGTTTCATCTTTACTTCAAATTTATCAACTGTAAATGTAACTGTAAACATATATTCTTTTTCAAATGAGGCTCTGAATTATTCAAAACTAATCATATATTTTGTTATTACTATATTAACTGTTATCTACTTTTTGTTTTTTTCCCAGGTTTATATAAAAATGTTTAGCTTGTCATTTCTGTGCCATATTAAATCAGATTAAGCTAATGTCATTATTTTTAACCTGGCATGACTCAGTTTGTATCCATGTAGCTATGAATTGTGCATTTTTGTGTAAAGTGAATCTTTTGTCTAAGACTGCACCATTTTTTTAGCAATTATTACATCTGAGAAACAAAAGATTGTGGGTTGTTTTTTTCCCCCCTAACTGTGACAATGATATTTTTAGCAACCAGCAAGTTCTGTTTCCTCTTTCTTTTGAAGTTAAAAGAGTGGGAGAGAGAGGCTTTGAGAGAAGAAATGGGAGACAGCCCTCGACAATTTTAACTGGTCTTAGCAGTTCCTACATATTTATTGGTGAAGACAACTTGCCTTTTCATCTTCCACAGCTGCCTTTAATCCTTTGCAGATAGGCACTAAATTAAATTATAGAAATACTTTTCTTGTTTTGTAACGGGGCAGTGGAGTGTCTTGGGATGAAGAATGGATTAGTGTCCGTGCAACAGTAGTTTGCTCACTGATAGGTGGTAGCCAGCAAAATTAGGTGTGTTAGAGATAATGTTATATTGCAGGCATCTTTTCCTCCTCCGCTTCTGATACTTCAGAAACAAAATAGAAGCCAGTGCACTTGCAGACAATCATATGGTAATGCTTTGGCAGACTTTACTGATGTGAACCTCTCTGAAAATCATACAAAGGTTTCATTCTGCAAGTAACTGTCCAAATGTTTTCAAACTCAGACATTATTTAATTTACAATTAGAAAACATTAGGCTGGACCATCACTGAGAAGACACAAAGAAAACTCATGACAGCATTAGGGAATACCCATGCACTGCCCTCTCTCTCGCTGCCCTAATGAGTGAATGTGATGCATGCGTGACATATAGGTAAACTATAGTAGCCCATTATTCACACCAAACCCTGTCACTCTCTGTACAGTGAAGACATTTATTAATAAGCTGCAACACCAACTGGTGGACATGTATCTGGATCGTTCCTCCCCCTCTCTGCCAGTATCAACAATTCAGTGTGTTAGACCAATAACAGAATATGTTGAAACTATTAAAACTGTTTTGCAGTAAAATGTAATATACAAATCTTTGGTCATAATGTTTAGAAAATGGCTGCATAAAGACTGTATATTGATCATCACTGTAAGCTGATAATAAAGGAACTAAACTACATTCCAGAGTTCTGGGAAAGATTGTTTTGGCAAGGATTAAAACACTCCTCATAAACAGTTAAGTCAAACAGCATGCAAGCTATTAAGTGGCCTAAATGCTTTAATAAGGTCTTTACCTGCCCTTCACATGTGATTTCATCATGTTCATATATAAATGTACAATTGGATAGCATTATTCTTAATACAGTGATTGAGTGGCATTAAACCAATGAATACAGTAACTTGTGGGAAGGTTTGGCAAACAAAATTACCAACAGTCGGCGAAGTGGTAGGAAATGCAGTCACATTATTCAACATACATAACTACTGCAGTGTAAAAATAGAACTTTTTTTATGTAAACTTGAAAAGATATCTGCAATATTGAATACATAAATATAATATACATGCTGTAGCATTATATTCCAAATAAGGCCAGTCTTTGCTTTCTCATTGTGAAGCTTCTGATGAAACATGTGAGCATGATATATTATACACATGATACTGATATGAAAACTGGTTCCTGATGGATAAAAGGTACAGCTTCACAGGTTCTCCATATGCTGCTGCAGTGATGTGCTCTTTACTGCCTGTGAAGAGAAAAAAATACTGAAAATGCAAAGAATGTAAAGACACGTGAACTACAGCCATATTTTAGAGGCTGAAACATTTTAAGATATTTAATCTGTGCCAGCTCCTGCTGTTTTATTGTTCATGGCACTTTGATGTAGGTTAAAGGGATACTCACACTACTGTGGCTCCATCTCAATCTCCTGCAGATCTCTGCTTTAATCCAGATGTCAAAGGTATGTATTAGAATGGCTTGAATAAACATGAGAGGACCAACATTTAGTTTATAGTTTATTATGTTCTTACCTTGTGTTTGTGTATGATCTGTGATGACTGTGAGTTTTCTGTTTTGGAAAGAAAAGATCTGAAATTAAATCAATGCACACACATGGTGAACAACTGCAGGGTGAGTGAAAATACATCAAATACAGCTCATTTTCCTAAACGCTGAAGTAACATGCTAGAGTTCTGACTAATGAAAGACTGTAAGTTAAGTGACCGACAGGGTTGTGTGCAATGATTGATTTGCCTCTGGGAAAAATATGACAGAATTGGCATGTACTGAGCAAATAAACTGAGGACAGTATAAGACAATGCTGTAACAAGTAGAAAGGTTTCTATGGGTGATTCAATATGTTTTTTCTGTGAAACCTTTTTTAAATTTTCATTATTGGGATCCACTTTTCAGCAGTGAAGCACAAACTTTCAAATTAGCAGCATGTATGTGAGCATTTCACCATAGTTAACACTAGACACATGCATCACTTTACACAGTCCTTGGTAATAAAGTTTAGATTGCTTTGCCTCCCGTGGATATAGCAATGCTTGAGCTTGACTTTCAGCTGGGTGGGTCACAGGTCAGTTTTGAAGAATGTATTTTTAGTGTTTCCCATTAGGATTTAAACACATGCTTCCTGTTGCAGGCAGATTGTGTAGCAGTGATGAGAATTCCATGTCTTGAAAGAAATGGTTTGTTTGACTCTGAATACTCAAAGAGCCATACAGTGTGTCTGGCTCCTGCTTGGGCAGGCATGTGTTATATATGAACTTTGCCGTACTGTGTGTAGATGGACAGTGCTCACATGTGCCAAAGACAGTTTATAGCCGAAATTATTATCAGGAACTCTTCCACAGGGCTCAAAGACTTACAAGCAGTACATTGTGACATTAGAAATGTTTTAGAGATGTCTGACCAACTTGCCTTTACACAGCACACACAGGAGCAGCTGTACACTATTATTACACAGTTCACCCAGCTAGAAGCCATTGAAAAATAACTGTGCAAGTATAAACACCATTAAATATAATTTAATGTGGCATGGCAATTAATTATGTTTGCTAATCTAGGCTTTGAGGTGAAAAAACTAATACAGCAATCAACACAAGCATGCTAATTTAGCAGTTGTTAAACTGCATATTCACAAATATGCCCCTACCCAAGTAACATGTGATTTCCAATTTAATCCATTTCTTTGTACAGCTTTTCAAGCCTTTGCATTGCTTTTAAAAACATTCTCACTTAGTAAACATGAGGTCAATTAAAGTCAGAGAGGGTTTGAGCCTTAGAGATTAGGACTTTAGGGACACATAGGAAAATGGTTTACCAACACACTATGGCAAAAAGCAGGAGAAAAGGCAGCAGAGTGAGCAGGAGTGTATATTAGAGGATGCTGCAGGATAAAAGTTAACTAGGACTCCACCAGTAAAAAATTATGTCTTGATTTTAGGTGCATGCAATCAGATAAACCAGGATATAAAGAATCCTGAACTAGAAATCAGTCCCTCACGGTTTCTCAACCCTGTCTGGTCTTTAAAGCTCGTTCAAGTCAACTCTGGATGAGACAAAATCAATTTATGAGGACAGAAAGCAAATGTATCTTCTCCTCCACATCATGCAAATGAGCCAACTGCTAAGTTTTATGTGATTTTCCTTCACAAAACACAGAAAATCACCATAATCCAATGTAGCCCACCAATCTGGCATCTAATATTCAGAGGCAGATGGGGTGACCAGACTGGCGCACATGCTCAGAGAGGGATGGCACATTTGAAATAAATGTAAAAAGTAAACTAAACCCCTAGTTCTATAAAATAATAAACCATACATTATTAAGAATCAAACAGTTTATTCTTTGTAAAAATAAGACACACATAATGTTTTCTTAAGCTAACTTTGGCTGTGTTCCTTATTTACTCCCCAGTGGGGACATTGCTGCTGAACAGTGGTTCCTCTCACACTAAGGTCAATCATCCCAAGTATTAAGAATGAACTCAACATAAGCACCGGTACCTTTTGTGTGATGAGACAGTAGAGAGTAAATATGAACAGCAGTCCCCCGAAGATGGAGGCAATGATAAAACCAAGCTTGTACAGGTCTTTGACAGGTCTTCTCTGAAAGGCTGTCACTGGCTTCCTACTATAACTGTCTGTAGAAAAGACAGAATCTGTGATCTTAGTAGCTTTAAACATCTGCATATTCATCAGAACTTTTCAGAAGATTGAGCTTCCCACCTGTGAAATGTTGTGTGGGTGAGTCTATAGATAGCTCTGTGGTAGAGCCAGAGGTTTCACTGTATTCGTGCTGGCATCTCCAGTCTATTGGTGCACTGCTTGTCGTCACCAGCTCCCAGTAAACAGACAGCACCTCTAAAGCCTTCTGCAGGGCCTCTGAAGGTGAACCTCTGTAGAGCATCTCAAAACTTTCTGGCTTATCCTGCAGAAGATTTTGAAACACACACCTTCTAGGTACAGTATCTACTCATGCATATTGCTACATGTACTGTCATGTACAAGTTGATTTTAATGGACATGAAAAGTTTTATCCAATTTTCATTCTAATGTTTTGTTTCTTTCTGTGTGCGTTTTGTCTGCACTTTTAATGTTTTATCTGTCTGCATTGTGTTAAGCACTTTCAATTGCCTTTGTGTATGAAAAAGTGTTATATAAATAAGTTTGCTTTGCCTCGCCTTGTGTTTCACAAGTATTGCAGATTTATATTCCTGTGTCTGGCAGTTCCTTGAATCACATTTTTCTTTTTCATGTTTTATATTATTCAAAATATAATTCATCACTTCTCAGAAATAAGCTGCAAGATCACCACTTGGAAACACACACTCACTTCAAGCTCTTCGTTAATCTGTGGCACACATTTCTGAGAATAGATGTTGAGGATGAGTGCTCTCAGGGACTGAACGTAGCCATCATTGACTGAACCCCGATGATATTTGAAGTGAGTGGTGAGGAGCTCCAGAATCCAGGGTAAAGCAGCTTTTACAAAGCAACATTTGCTCTGTGGAGAATCAGTGCATGAGGCAATAAACATGGAAGTTGCATAAAAGTAATAAAAAGTTTGTATCAAAGGTTTTGGAAGGAAAAAGTCCCATAAAGCAAATTTTACCTTACCAAACTTCTTCGTTCTGTGAATGTGTAGGTTATTGAGCACCCACTTCTCAACTGGTTGTCCATCTGCAGAAACAACAGGAAACATTAAAGCCTAGGCTGTGAGACATGATTGACACATCATTTCCAGATAACTCTGATATTCAAAACTTACCAGATGCCTGACTGTTAGTAGGTGCTCCCTAGTGATGGAGTGTCTGCATGGACCAGGGACCTCAGCCATAGTGAGAGGGAAGCTCAGGAACATAAGCACACACAGACAGTTTACCTGCAACCACACATCATCAACATTTATTAAGCCTATTATCACATCCCTCAGCTCTTCAAGATGACAAGCTGACACACATGTGAACATTTACTTTAGCCTAGCCTAAATGCTACTCAAGAAGACATTACTCAAGTAAATTATGCAACCTAAAATAGCAAAATGAAGAATTCTGCTAAGAAAAATGTATTGTCTAACATAGATGTTCCACAAAACCTCTGAAAACATGTCTGGCCTTTGTACTTCTTTGTGAATTCCAGGATTAATGTATACTCAAATATTTAAATGAGCCCAGGTGTCATGCACTGACCACCACTACTGCTTAAATGTATCTGGACACAATGGCAGGAGGGAATATTAGAGAGGTTCAGTTGTATATGTTTGAGCCTTGTTCAGATTTAGACTCTGAGGAACCAAACTCCTCTGAAAGGTTAGTGTGGTTAGGGTCCATTTTGTGTAACATTAGCCTTTAGCTTGTAACATACTGTAGCTATAGTAGCTGTGCATTGTTATTACATAGTGTTAGCCATATAAAATTGTCTAAATAAATGTGCAAATGTATTTATAGTGTGCCTGTGAGATTGAAAGTATGTCAGCATCTATTCATTCTCTCAGCTGATCCAAAATATAATTTAGTAACAGAAAACCAGGAGGCTTAGTTATTAGCGATGGGCTAACCTATAGCACTCAGGTAGGCTATCACCAGGGAGGCAATCATAATACTTCAATAATGTCAATAATGTTTCTGATCTAAACTAATGTTAAATAGTACAAATAAATAAATAGTGGAATCTCCAGGGTCCAGTTTACTGTACACCCAACACTGTGCCCTCTGGCATATTTGCTGTCAACAAAAAACAACCTTTCACTCACACTCCTGCTCAATGAAAATTTAGTTGCTTTAAGAACAGAGGTTTCAGGTTTCACAGCACTCCTGAAATCTTCAGATATTTTTATTGGAAATCATGACTGACTTTCAGATTTGTAGCATAATAAATTTGGTTTGCCTGTCCATGTTTTAAACTCAGATTTCAGGGGAGCAAACAGACATCCACCTCCAGCAGAGGAGCAGAAACCCTCTTTAAGATAAACCTGCACATGCACCTGTAAGTACAGTGGAGGGCAAAAATTTATGAGGTGAAATGAAAATAAGAAAAAAAAAAAAACGCTTTGAAGGTGAGGGGCTCTTTAACTATTTCAGCATGAACGTACTCCATACAGCAGTCTCAGTCCGAACAAGAGGATTTGCTACGATGTTATGTGAAACCTAAGAAGCTCCTATTCTGGTGTTAGATAAGCTGTAGTTAAAAAGTGCCTTCTAATATGGAAATTAGACTTGGAAAAACAACAAACGCTTCTTGTAGCTGGTGATGCCTTCTACAAAGCACGTTTTGGCAACTGTAACAGTCAAATGGACTCCAGATGGATTTAAATCCTTTGTTTCAGGATTAAAACATAATGAAAAACACATTGCAGGTAATCTTCCCCTTGACCCACTTGACCTGTGAGTACCAGCAAAACCCTGGACTGAAACAATAAAACATGCCTGAGTTCTGAGATGTATTAAAATTGTCTGTTATTTTTTTATTTTCTTGTCTGTTTTTCTTGTAATGCAGATCTGTACAGTTTAACTCTTGTTTAGGTTTCTGAATTATGTAACATAAACTTCACACAGTTCCTGCAGATTATGTGTCATGATGATACCATGATTAAGTAAGGTGTTAAGTATGTGCACCGCAAATGAAACATTTTAAACATTAAAGATAAACAAAGGTGCCAGAGTTTCGCTGGGAACCTATTTAATGACCGATGATGACACATAATCAAATAAATGTAATGTAATAAAATTACTAATCTGACTGATTTGTGGCAAATGCAGGAACACATGATGCAAATGTTACCTATCACATGATTTATTTTCTCCTTGATATCTTTGTTTTGCTCAGTAAACTGCACCGCCAATCATCAAGCCTCATAGTCAGTCTCACACAAGCATGCTTTGTTCTTTTGCATCAAATTTGGCATATTGTTGGATTCTTATTGCAGGGATTATAAAAAACCATCTCACCTACCTTAGCTTTGCTCTGGATCAGGGTTAACACAAGGATGGTCATCTGGTATGTGTTTGACAATGGAAAACTCCAGACTCCTTTGTCACACACATTGAAGCTAAAAGATCCTTTTAATATATTCAGTTCCACTCCACAAAAAGGAATTTGCTGTTAAGTAAATTTGACACTTTGTGATGTGGCACTGTTCTTCAGAGTATTGCCTGATGTGCTCCTCCTGCACAGAGTGAGTTCAAACCAAGACTGACTGTGTCAGCTGACAGACAGCCTGTTTTTAAGACCTCCCACATTTCTTCTGTTCAACAAGATTCATTGTCATTGTTTTCATTGACGATTTAGGATAAATCTGTTTTTTGATCATTTGTGCAAAAGAGCTCTTGGGAACTTGATGAAATGTTCGCAGCACCCACTGCTGCGAACATTTCATCGTGCTGTTGAAACTCTGTATCATCACAACTACTTGCAGAGGCTGCAGGGGTAATCGGATGCTGCACCAAAACAAACAAACAAACAAAAATAAATAATGGGGGTTTAGTTTGCTACTATAGGACTAACCCAAGACAGAGAGACAGACACAAATTCACATAAACATCTTCAGTTATTTTTCATGAGGATTTCCTACAGTGAAATAAAATATTTGCCACTGGACCTATTAACATAGGAAGTGACCTTCTATCCCTTGTACTGTGAACACATTCATAGCATTATAAAAGTGTCATTTTTTTGCTGACAAATTGTAAAATGTACTATTTGTGCTTTCGTTTTGTGCCACAGAGGGGAATTTTAGAAACTTGTAAGTTCAGAGATAAAGCTTTTCATACACGTGACCAACAAATGAAATATGATGCATTGTTGAGATTAGACTACCCAAGAACATAAAGTATTTAAAATTAGCTCCGCCTAAATTAGTTCATTACAATGTTGCTCACATGTTACAGCATCAAGAATTATAATTAGTGCTTTGTGTCACATTAGCAGCAAGCAGAGCATTGTAATGACAGATTTACTCAGGCTGCAGGCTGCACAGTTTGTCACAACCAGACATACAGAGTAAAAACTTTTTCTAGGAAATAAGACATGATGATACGGAGCAATTGTTTTAAGTCTCACTAGACCCTCTAGTGGCTGAAAAAAATAGGTAGAGTAGCTTTAACTCAAAATGAGTCCAGCTAAACATCCAGCAGTATATATTCCATTAGCTTCTATATTTTCATTATACAAATGTATGAATATTTCCTTTAAATGTCATTTACTGTGTGTTAAATTTGAAACTGTAGGCTTGCATCACTACAAAAGAGGACACCACATTACTCTACTGTGATTTATTAAATAAAAAACAAAGTAATACAGAAGGACTGTTGGACACAATATGTCATGTCTTTAATGGCGATAATGATTAAAATAATTATATAAATAGCATTAACAATAATTATATACATAACACTAATACTAAATACTATTTGGCTTGTGTAAAAGTTACAAATTTAATAATAAACTGCTGTGAAGTAATGTAACAATCACCATCAGATATAGATTGGGGTCTTGTTAAGTAATGTGGACAATTGTTCAAGAGTAAAAGGATGTTCTTTTTGCAGCACCTCAGCTTCAAGATATTAGCTATACAGTTAAATACATGTTTTCCTGGAACTACATACAGTGCCTTGCGAAAGTATTCGGCCCCCTTGAACTTTGCGAACTTTTGCCACATTTCAGGCTTCAAACATAAAGATATAAAACTGTAATTTTTTGTGAAGAATCAACAACAAGTGGGACACAATCATGAAGTGGAACGAAATTTATTGGATATTTCAAACTTTTTTAACAAATAAAAAACTGAAAAATTGGGCGTGCAAAATTATTCAGCCCCCTTAAGTTAATACTTTGTAGCGCCACCTTTTGCTGCGATTACAGCTGTAAGTCGCTTGGGGTATGTCTCTATCAGTTTTGCACATCGAGAGACTGAAATTTTTGCCCATTCCTCCTTGCAAAACAGCTCAAGCTCAGTGAGGTTGGATGGAGAGCATTTGTGAACAG